TGCTGACATTCCAGACGCGAATTCACTACACTTCAGTGTACCTGTTATCAGTATTCATAAATTCATTTAGCCACTACACATTGATTTCATAAGGTGCATTTTTTGCGAAACTTGGCAGTTGCCCTTTTAAGGATTTTCTCACTTTTACATTTGCTACAAAAGTCGACATTTTATTTTGCACCGATTGTAATCAAAACAAACAACGTCCCTCATGACGACGTCGACAAAACACACACATGTTGGTTGTCGGCACAACACATAGAAGCAACTTTTTTTATCCTAGGACGCTAGACCAGGCACGAGCCTGGGATATTTTTTCATATTACTTCAGGCTAGACTTAGGGGTTGCGGCATTATCACTGAGATCAAATCCATTGGTGACTTGGTGGGGATCGAACCCGGGACCTCAGGGACTGAAGTCCCGCGCTCTAACCACTACACCAGCACGCTCCCCAATAGAAGCAACATAGAACATATATATCCGTGATGGGGTTTAAATCCCGGAAAGTATAATTAGACCTTCGGCGCACATTTTGCATTTAGTAGTTGTAGCTGAGGGTCTAAACAGGCAGTATGCCGAAGTTCTGAATCCCGGAAGGCCTAAAAGTACAGTCAATGCAGAAAACTCATCCACTGATACTGTTTTAGACCTTGCGGGATTTAGACCTTGGGCGCACAAACTACATTTTGTAAATAAATGTTTATGAAATGAGAGTTCCAGAAGGTCTATAAGTCCCGGAAGGTCTAAAAATGGAGTCCCGGAAGGTCCAAAAATGCGAGTCCCGGAAGGTCTAAAATGCAAGTCCCGGAAGATCTATTAATGCGGGCTTTGTGTCGCCAGAGTTGAAGGCTGATACCACGGTGACCAAGAGTTTAATTCGTCTTTTGAAACAATGCACGTTCTTCTAAGCATTGCGAAGTTATGGAATTGTTTAATGCGGAGTTAAAATACTTCCTTTGATTAAAATTTTATAAAATCCATTAAATGTCAACTACATAATTAGATTGTATTTATTTAATTAAGAAAGGTGGACAAACTTTGAGAATGAACTTATTTGTTTATAGTGCGATCATGTGTTTAGACTTCTTATTTGTTAAAGATAATATAACAAGCTGCTATACCCGTGCTTTGCAACGGGAAGAAAATGTGACCTAGAGAGCTATTAAAGTGGTGCTGATGTGTGTTTTAAAATACTGTAGGCCCTACAGCAACTCTATGATTTAGTTTGAAAATATAAACTGATTTAAAAGCGTAAACCTACTTATTTTCAAACCCCTACTTTTGATGTTAATAGACCCATAAGAATATGACAACATACCTTAGTGTAGCAATAGCATCAATTGCTTCATATTGATGCTTCACGAATAACATGTTTTACCATAATTATTCAATTTTAGTCAAGCCTCTTCACATGTAGCTTACTATATAAATAAAAAAAATTAAAACTTTGAGCAATATTACAAAACGTATACAACCTCACTTTAAAACCAAACATAACCCTTCTCAATTTACATTAAGCGTCACAAACATCTTATTCGAGTAAATAAACAAACACCAGTTCATTGTACTGACCAGCTGTTTTATTAACTAAATTAAATTAAATCATTTAAACATTGGAAGCATGCCAGGCGTAGCCCTTTGGAAATCAGCTTGTGGGGCAGAGCCCTAAGGAAATTTGTCCATATCAATACTTTTCGGCAAATCTACACACTCTAAGCGGGAGTGTTGCTGAAGGTCTAAGTCCCGGAAGGTCTAATTAGACCTTTGACACACATTTTGCAGTTTGTACTTGTTGCTGAGGGTCTAATCTGGCAGTATGTCGAAGGTCTAAGAGTACAGTCAATGCAAAAAACTCATCCACAGATACTGTTTTAGACCTTGCGGGATTAGACCTTGGGCACACAATGTATATTTTCAAAATAAATGTTTATAAAATGAGAGTTGCTGAAGGTCTAATTTCCGGAAGGTCTAAGATTCGAGTCCCGGAAGGACTAAGATTCGAGTCCCGGAAGGTCTAAGATGCGGGCGGGCATTGCGTCGCCAGAGATGAAGGCTATACAGGCAGGCAATAACGCAACAACTTTTAGAGTTGTAATATTCTTAGTGATAGTTTTAATAACTCTCACGTCTATTTTTTTGCTAGCTCGTTATTACAAGTACGATGGATATATATAAAAAAATCTTCATTTATATGATATCATTGACTGTTGGATTCTTTAATTTTTGTTACTGGCATAGTTGCTGGGCCATAACAGTTGCTATAGCTCAGAATAAATCATTACATCAGTTTAAATTGGTAATAAAAAACCATCTTGCAATCGGCAAAAATAAGTTAAATAAGTTCGGCAGGAATAAGTTAATGTTGGTGTTAAAATAACATCGTTAGTTTCCTTGGTGTTCAGGATTCTATTTTGTTTATTTCAGCTTAACTTAGCCAATAAATAGTTTCATCCATTGACTTTATACCACATATATAGTCATGTTTCATCTTACTAATATTATAAATCTAAAAGTTCGTGAGTTTTTACGTGCGTGCGTATAAGGCCGGTGTGATTTTCCACCGTGGGTCCGAGGTCCCCGCTTGTTTCGAGGTCCTGGTGCGGGACCTCGGATCCAAATACAACCGAAAACGTGTTCGATGCCAGAGAATAATTTTAATATCAATATTAAACGATTTTGAGCGAGATCTTGGAACCCTAATGGACAGTTTAAAACTTCTTCACGGAATTTCCGATAGGAACGTAGCGATAGTTTTCACTTGTACACAGTGTGACAACAACGCTGGTCAACTATTATTACATAAATATTATCAGGAGTTTGTTGTGGAATTTTTCTGAATACATTTTAAAATTGTTTTTCTGTATGTACATAATAAATCTATATTATTCATAAACTATATGAAACTTTGTAAACAATAAATTTTACAATCTGCAGTTTGGCTTTTTTTAGTTTAATCCATATGTGGGGTTAAACTTTAAACAAAAGGGTTAACAAAATGTTGTTTGAAACCAGTGACAGGACCTGTATTATCATAGCCGTCTCTAGTAATAAGGCCGCGGCCTTCGATGTGGCAACGCCGCGACTCATCCCCGCCCTGGTCCAACTCCGGGTATTGCCGCCTGCGTTAAAACGTGCAACATTTCGCCAAAACTGCGCTTATTCACGTTTAAAGCTATGGAAATGTAGCCAGATCAATAGATTAATTTTTAGCATGAAATGCCGCTTACCATTTTTCAGATTGTATTACGAAATCTATATAATTAATACGCTACATGAAACTTTGTCGGTTGAACTCCTCCGCCATTTCTTAACCGATTTTATCCATTGACGTCTCATTGAAAAGAGCGTGTCGCGTAGATTTGCAAACTGGCCTTACATTTTTGAAAAAGTCCCTTGGGCTCTGCCCCCAGTGGCTTTGAAAGTTCCCATGTTATCCTTATGAAGAACATAATTGTTTACATTTTGATCAGCTGTATAATTTAATTGCTGTTATTTATTCTTCGATTCAAAGTCTTTTAAACTCATCGGAAATTATGATAAGAGAAAATTAATGGAAAGATGATGAAAGAGAAGAAGAGAAAGACGAAGTTTGTATTTTAATTGTACGTGCACAGGGGCATCATTCTTTCATTAGGTATGCTGAATGGAGTGCGTCCAATCTAAATTGATAACCACTTACTACCTGTTATATGTAGGCTACAGTTTTTACCGTATTGCGTGTTGTTAACAGTAAAATTTTTTAATTATCCTTAAGTTAAAATACTAGTGTTATTAGACCTATTTGTGATTAACCTATTCGCAAGGTCTAAAACAGTATCAGTGGATGGGTTTTTTGCATTGACCGTACTCTTAGACCTTCCGGGACTTAGACCTTCGACATACTACCAGATTAGACCCTCAGCAACAAGTACAAACTGCAAAATGTGTGTCAAAGGTCTAATTAGACCTTCCGGGACTTAGACCTTCGACATACTACCAGATTAGACCCTCAGCAACAAGTACAAACTGCAAAATGTGTGTCAAAGGTCTAATTAGACCTTCCGGGAATTAGACCTTCAGCAACTGATCCCTCTAAGCTTCATTTTGATGTGCCATATGCCTATATTTTTATTTTGTAAATGACCTTAACCGTTTACATAAAATTTGATTGTATCACTTTAATAATATAATGGATTTGTTAATGCAATAGGTGGCATTCTTATTTACAAAAAACTAAATACTTATCCATTCAAATAAAGAGTAAATCAGGTTCAGGCGCAAAAATAAGGTATTTAAACCACTATCACTATAGTACCATAGTAACAATGTTACATATGATTTTTTTACCATTCTTCTCATCATCTTAGTAAATAAACTAAGGCTTGGATGGATTTAGTTTGATATAATGACATGATTTTATCACTACATGAACCTTATTTACTCTTTATTTGAATTGTTAAGTATTTACTGTTTTGTAAATAAGAATGCCACCGATATTGCATTAATATAATTAAAAAGATTTTTGAAACCTGAGAGCCTGTGAGTTGAGTTGGTATTAATATTTTTTAAGAACATGTGTTGTTTATTATTGAATAATAACAAATGATTATCATTCTACTCATAACATGGGCTTTGTTAAATAAAATAAAACTAATTTCTTTATCCAACTTTTATTGTTTTTATTTGGTTATGGGCCCAGAAAATATTAAAAGAATGGATTTAAGAGTGAATGTTGAAAAACTAAGTAATTCTCAATCATGGAGAAGGTGGAAACGCCAGATGGAATTAGTTTTGAGACATCATGGAATTAGTGATCTGATTACTGGTGAAAGGACAAGGCCTGAAGAAACAGAGGAGCAGAAGCTTAAGGATTTTAAGAAAGGTGACACCTTAGCTCAGGTACTTATTGTAAATGCTCTAGACGATTCACATGTAGATTTAACAGCTACTTGTGATAGTGCACATGAAATAGCTGTTGAGTATATATGAACAATCATCAAGTCAGAGACTAGATAGAACAATGGAACAGTTCTTTACATCTAGTATAACTGATGGAGAAGATTTGGTCAAATATATCTCAAGATTGCAGTTAAACTTCAGAGAAGTGAATGATGAACTTAAAAAGCATAAAGCTTCAGAACTGCCAGAACTTGTTTTGATGTCAAGGATTATGAGTACACTACCTAAAGAATTCTTTGAGTTCAAGAGTGTGTGGGAAAGCATACCAGTGAAAGACAGAAGTGTTGATTTGCTAATAGAGAGAATTCGTCTGATTGAGTCCAGGCTACCTAGGTCTATGAATTCTGATAATGGACAAGCCTTACAGGTTTGTAGAAATAGCATAAGTTCATTCTCAGCAGGCAAAAGGCATTCTGTAAAGAAGAAAATAAAGTATTTTATTTGTAAGGGACCACACTATGCTAGTCAGTGTCCAAATAAATCAGAAAAAGAAGACAAGAACAAGACTGAGCCTAGAAAAGGTAACAGTGGTCCATTCTTGTGTTTTGTAGCAAAGGAGCACAAGAAAGACAACTTTATTGCAGACTCTGGAGCATCACAGCATATGTGTTTCCGGAGGGACTTCTTTCACACATATTAGATGTTTACTTCACCAATTAACGTCACTGTGGGAAATGGTGATGATATTGAGGCAGTTGGAGAGGGTAGTATTCGAGTAAGTGTGAATATTAGTAAGAACCGATACATCACAACTTTAGAGAATGTATGGTACGTTCCCAAGCTAGGAAGGAACCTGATGTCAGTCAGCACAACAGTGAAGAAAGGATTTAGTTTCAAAGTAACTAAAGAAAAATGTGTCTTCATGAAGAATAACGTTGCACAGCTGTATGGACACTGTGTAAATGGACTCTATGAAGTTGAAATGGATGTTCTGTTGCCGCACGTAGAAGCTGAAACATCGTGTAGTAGTAAACTGAAAACCATCCAAGAGTGGCATGAATCTCTGGCTCATCAAAATAAGACACATGTGTTAAAAACTCTTAAAAGCAGGGGAATAAATGTCAAGGTAGAAGATGAATTTTGTTAAGGTTGCGTACTAGGCAAGCAACACAGAGCTACATACCATTCTCGAACTGTAAGGCCAACAATTGCAGGAGAAATAGTAAGTGGAGATCTCTGTGGTCCTATGGAAAACGTTTCTCTAGGAGGAAGTCGCTACTGCCTGGTTTTCAAAGACTACTTTACTAAATTCAGAAGAGTATTTTTCATCAAAAATAAGACGGAGGTTACAGACTGTATTGAGACATACTTGAATGAATGTTGTTGAACTGCTGGACATGTGGTAAAAACGTTTATGAGTGATGGTGGGACTGAGTTTAATAATTTTGCAGTGAAGAAATTGCTCGCTAAACGAGGCATCACTATGAGAACTGTTATGCCTTATACACCAGAAGAAAATGGTTCTATTGAACGTGAAATGCGCACGTTAGTTGAATCAGCAAGAAGCATGTTGTATTCCAAAAGATTGCCAAAGAGCTTATGGGCAGAGGCAATGAACACGGCGTGTCATGTGATCAATCGGACAGGACCAACAAGTACAGAAGGTACACCTTATGAACTTAGGTATGGAAAAGGACCAGCACCAATTGAACATTTTCGACCGTTTGGTGTTTCTATGTGCATGTCCCAAAACAGAAACGGAAGAAATGGTCAGCAAAATCAGTTCCAGGAAAATTGGTTGGGTATTGCGATGAACGAGATGGATTTCGAGTCTACAACGGTCACACAATAGTGGTCAGTAGAGATGTTGTCTTTAAACCTTATCAGAAAGGAGAGGTTGTCAGAGCAGAGGGCATCACAGAAGATTGGGCCAAGACTGTTCCTGATGAAGATAAAGAACTTGACAAAACCGTATCCATTGCTATCCTATGCGAAGACAAGAGTCAGCCAATCAATTATCAAGAGGAAAATGAAGAAGCTGAACCTGATGAAATTGAATATTGTGAACAACCGGAAGAGGAAGATCGACCTGATGAAATTGAATATTGTGAACAACCGGAAGAGGAAGATCGACCAGGAAGGCAAAGGCAACCACCTAGTTATCTTCAAGATTATGTTCTTGTAGCTGAAGCTGGACCAACATATAATGAGGCCGTTAGTAGTGAAGAGTGGTTTCATTGGCAGGCAGCTATGAATGATGAGATGGCATCTCTTCAGAAACACCAAGTTTACAAGCTCGTACCGTTACCCAAGAACAAGAAAGCAATTGGAGTAAGATGGGTTCTTACAAAGAAGAAAAATCCAGATCGATACAAAGCTAGGCTTGTTGCAAAGGGCTACGCTCAGAAAGGAGTAGATTATTTTAGCACCTACAGTCCTGTAGCAAGATTCGATACTCTAAGGACAGTATTAAATATGGCAGCACAGGAAAGCATGTATTGAATCAATTTGATGTAAAAACAGCATTTTTACATTCAAAGCTAGATGAAGAGGTTTATGTTGAGCAACCTGAAGGTTATAACGACAACTCCGGAAGAGTGTGGAAACTACAACGTAGTTTATACGGCCTTAAGCAAAGGCCTAAGTGTTGGAATAAAAGACTTTCTGAGTTCATGAAATCTCAAAATTTCAAACCGAGTACAGCAGATCCTTGTTTGTTCCTTCGTGAAGGAAATGGCGAAAAGATGTTCGTCATCATTTATGTGGACGATGGACTCATACTTGTGAAAAACAAGTGAATGTATTTGTGCAGAACTTAAAACAAAACTTTGAAATCAAAGTATCAAAACCTGAAACTTACCTTGGAATCGAGATTGTTCAAACAAGTGATGGAATAGTTCTCAGCCAGAGGGCATACTTAGATCAAGTTCTAGAAAGGTATCGGATGTCGAACTGTCACGCAGTGTCAACACTATTTGACAAATCCGATGTCAACACAAATGCAAAGCCTCTATCAACAGAAGTGCCGTATCGTGAAGCTGTGGGCAGTTTGCTATATTTGACAAACACTCGCCCAGACATCTGTTATGCAGTTAGTATGGTGGCACAGCATGTGACTAGTCCAACCATCAAAGACTGGAACCAAGTCAAGAGAATCCTTCGTTACCTGCAAGGTTCTAAGGACTACGTTCTACGCTACACGAAGCAGAGCGATGAACCGAAGATTCTGAAATGTTACACCGATGCAGACTTCGCAGATGATGAAAACAGCAGAAAGTCACGTTCAGGATGTCTATGTTTGTTTGCTGGCGGAGCCTTAGTTGGTTTTCAAAGAAACAAAATTGTATTTCACTATCAACTACTGAAGCGGAATATGTTGCTGCTAGTGAAGCTGATAAGCAAGTAATATGGCTTAAAGGCTTGTTAGAAGAAATCAGCAGTTCATGGATCGAAGCAACTATGTACATTGACAATGCTGGTGCAGTACAATTAGCACACAATCCTTCAACGCATGGAAGAACGAAGCACATCAGTGTTCGGTTCCACTTTGTAAGAGAGCACTTCAACAACGGATGTTACAAAATGGAACATGTACCTGGAAGACTTCAGTTGGCAGACTTCTTGACAAAGAGTTTACCTTCTAGTCGACTGAAGGAACTTTTGAACCTCTCAGGTTTGAGGGCAAATTAAAAAGATTTCTGAAACCTGAGAGCCTGTGAGTTGAGTTGGTATTAATATTCTTTAAGAACATGTGTTGGAACATGTGTTGTTTATTATTGAATAATAAAAAATGATTATCATTCTACTCATAACATGGGCTTTGTTAAATAAAATAAAACTAATTTCTTTATCCAACTTTTATTGTTTTTATTTAATATTTCATTAACAAATTATTGATTAATCTTTAACAAAGAAGTCTAAACACACAATAACACTATAAACAAATAAGTACATTATCATTATCAAAGTTTGTCCACCTCTCTTAGTTAAATAAATACAATCTAATGTAGGAAATCTAATGTAGGTAATCGAAGGAAATGTTATAATCATGATCGCGGTTATTTAAAATAATTATTATTATAATTTTATAAGTATCGAATAATTATGTTTACAAGCTACGCATTAAAAAATTACATAACTTCGCAACGCTTAGAAAATCGTGCTTTCTTTCAAAATATGAATTAAACTCTGGTAAATGCGGTCCAGCCTTCAACTCTGCCGCCGCAATGCCCGCATTTTCAGACCTTCCGTGACTTGCATTTTGGGACTCACATTTTAGACCTTTCAGGTCTTAGACCTTCAGCAACTCTCATTTTATAAAAATTATTTACAAAATATACATTGTGTGCCCACGGTCTAAATCCCGCAAGGTATAATACATTATCATTGGATGAATTTTCTGCATTAACTGTACTTTTAGACCTTCCGGGATTTAGATCTTTGAGATCACGGCCGCCTTTAACTACAGGCCGCGGCCTGGTAGAATTGGCAACATCGCAAGTGGTGTTGTTCAGTGACAGACGTCCCATAAGATAACATGACATAGATAACATGTGTGCAGAAGGTCTGGTTATACCTTCTGCTTCTGGGATTTAGACCTTCAGCAACTGATCCATTGTGATGAGGTAGGGTGAGTGCGAGTTGTGAAAAAATATAACACCGGCGGCTGCTAATTGGAACTAGAAAAATATAGTGACACTAGCAGAGTACCCGTCCTTCGTACGGGGTTGGCATATAAGTATCAAATGCTTATAGCAGTTATGAGTGAGGACATGGTTTAAGAAATTTCGGTTCTTTTTGAAGTTCGTTCGCTACGCTCACTCACCTTTAGGTTGGAGCTCGTTCGCTGCGCTCACTTTCCTTCAGGTTAGCTCGTTCGCTACGCTCACTTGCCTTCAGGTTAGCTCGTTCGCTACGCTCACTCGCCTCCAGGTTGAAGTTTGTTCGCTACGCTCACTCACCTTTTGCTGTTGTCATAAATGTAAAAGAAATAATAGTGCTAGTGCTGCACCCTGTTGGTAATCCTTGTAACTTTAATGCTATTGAACATCACAGAACAGAACCAACTTGTTTAATTGAAACAGCTGTTAAGATTCAATAATTTTATTTCTCATAAGGTTAACATGGGAAACTCCAGAGCCACTGGGGCGGAGCCCGAAAGGATTTTTGGGATAAAAATATGCCTATATGTTAATCGGGAATGTGAGCTATCATCATGCCAAATTTCAGCCCGATCCGACCAGTAGTTTTCGCGTTTACTTTTCCCATACACACACACAGACACCACCTCTTTTTTATAATAGTATAGATAGATTGACTATAGTCAATGATAGTGATCATCAATATCACGGCCGCCCAAAATGCACCCAACTCGTCCCGCTTGGCCATCTTGTTTTGTTTACACGTTTACACTCGCTCTACTCAATTCACAGTACAGTGACACAGTATTTCACTTTTTCATTCAGAGTGCAGTGAGTGAGTTGTGTTTTGGTTGTGTTGTGTTGTGGTTGTTGTGAGTGAAAAGTGACAGTTCGACATCGACAGTTGAGTTGAGTTGTGGTTTTGTTGTTGTGTAGGAGGGCGTTTGGATGAGTGAATGGCGTGTGTTTCCTAGTGAATGTTTGAGTTTTTAGGTTTAGATTTTGCTAAATCGGTCACAGTAGTTTCATGAAAGAGAAAATGAGCTCTTATATACAAGTAGCCGAAGATGAAGGCGAGGAGCCGATCGAATTGCCCTCCGAAGATGATGGCACTTTATTATTGACCACCTTATCAGCTCAATTTCCTGGTACTTGCGGATTAAAATATCGTAATCCAGAATCACGCACTATGCGAGGAGTGCGGTTGGCAGATGGAAGATTGCACCCTCCTGACAATGGTTGGGGAAATTTTATTTACTACTGCGTTTTCCCCAAAGGTAAATTAACTTAGGCCAGACTAAGTTACCATGGGCAAGTGTGTTATTTTTAGGCCTATTTATTTGCTACAAACGGTCCAAACAAACAAAACTTACAATTTTGATAAGCTTATCAACAATTCATTAATCAAGATGACTGGCTATAACCAAGGGTCAAGCCAAACATGTACCGGGGCATTGTCTTAAATTTAATAAGGAATAAATTGACAACAAACTTAAGTCTGCAAATGTAAGACTAACAATAGATAAAATAGGCTAAGCTATTTATAAATAATTAACAATGAATAGAATCTTAATTAACTTAGTCTAAGTATAAACTTAGGCCTAATGACTTAATCATGTTAGCCTATAGGGCATATCTTATCCCTTACCATCTTTCAACATAACTTACTCAGTCCAACTTAGGCTATAGTAACACATGGAAAAATAACTTACATTTGGCCTAAGTTAAGTTATTACTTATCATCACTGTGAAACCGAAAGTAACTTCTATTTGGTGTTTTTGTAAGTTAACTGTCAGTTTGCAGCCTCTTCCAGACTAAACTAAGGACTATTCAGCTTGGTTTTTATGTAGCCTACCTAACTTAACACATTAACTTAAGGCTAAGTTATCTTTAACTCTTTACAGAAAGTTCAGCTGGTAACTTACCTTTTTAAATACTTTAAAATACTTTTCTTTGAAATGGCGACCATACAAAGTAGGTATTTTAAGCCAAGTATGAATGGAGATGATGATCTTGTAGTCTTGTAAGTGACTAAGTTAAGGCCGACATATTCCTTAGACACAGCTGTTAATTAATAGCCCATACAGCTAATGGCGACTAAGGGACCTACAGTTGATAGTGGAATCCGAACCACTTTTTTTTTCTTAGTAGCCTAATAAACTTACTTATTCCATTTTAGCTTAAGTTAGTTAGCATCCTGTAAGTACAGCACTTTCCGTTACCTTAAAGCCTTTTCTGTTACCGTAAGCCTATAGAATTACCTTATTTGAGGGAGTCGCAAACCGATTACAGTATGATTTTCAAACAGTAGGCCTAACCTGTTTCAACCCCTGGCAACCTTAAGTCCCTGAGCCTGTCTTAAGTGTCTGGCCTAGTTTAATTTTCAACCATTTTCACAGGTCTCATAGTTATGGATAAATTACGAGAATTTCTAGAATTATTAATTAAGAAACTTCATCTAAATTTTGCATTTTTAAGTTAATAACAAAAATAAAACAATTTTAAAGACTACTCTCAAAAATTAAAGTTTACTTTATATTGCTAATCTTATCAATAACCTCCTTAACTATTTTAATCAAGGCATGCGCTTTTTAAACTCAAATAAAAAACCATAATTTCAGAATAATGAATCGATGACTTAAAAGAGTCAACTCAAAGATAATGTGTAATCAATCACTCCACTACAGTTATCGAAACTGAAACCGAACTCACTATGAAAAAGAACGCTCTTGTATAGGCCTATATCATGTGATTACTATGAACAGCTGTAATTAATACAAATTATTTTTCTGTTTAACCCTCAAAGTGTCTCTAGTTTTGGTCTTAATGTTCGACCATTTATTGCGCAATTGCAGGGTTTTATTAAAATGTATCTTAGAAACTTAAAAACAATGTAAAGTATACTGTTTTATATATCATTTTGTTTGTAAAATTATGGGCTTCAATGTAACATATAAAACATTACAAAAAAAAATTTCAACAATTTTTGTGGGGTTAACATTTTTTTTTAAATTATAAAATAAATGAAAAAAAATGTATGTTTGCGCTCAATAAATTGTTATAATTTATAGGTCTACAAATATTTGAAAATAGCCACTTTGTTCAGAATTTTATGTGGATTCCAAAAATATAATAAGGAAGTAGGTTTGCAAATAAATAAGTTATGGGCAAAAAACAGATTTCGGTACATAGTGTTTAGCTAAGAATGCATAGCCGTTAGCTAGGAATCAGGCTGATAATTTACATCAATATCACTACCTACTTCTTAAGGATCATCAACCAGCCCTTCAAAATCACTTAAATCTTATTATAATGCACCACGTATATCACTACTTGTGATTTTTAACACTAAAACAATGGTAAACGTAATAAAACACATCAGTCATCGGTGCGAGGTTAACCAAGCTGTTTACAAATACGCACGTCAGCTGTCTGCTACAATATTTTCGGAACTAAAATGAAATGTGTATAGAAACAGACATCAGGAGAAAGCTCTGAATCTGCAGAAAAAACAATACCTAACTCGATCCAGTTCAATCCGATTCAGTCAGTCCCAGAGCCGTCGCCGTGTAAACAGTGTTTGTGAGTCGCAAAAGCGACACATAACACTCGAAGGGTTAAGTAAACAAAATATTTTAAAGTTCATAAGAAATACATTGGGATTTTGATGGCCTGTTGGGCAAAGCCTGAGGACGTATATAGCCTACATGAATTGGTGAAACAAAAGTGGTCTACACAAAAAATACTTAATTTTGGCACATCGTTTGTAAAAATCTATCCATTATTAACAGAGGAGTATTTCGTAGAAATCACCTTCGCGTATTATATAAGGATTATCAAAATCAGAAATTTCTAAGTAGGTATACTTGATAACTAAATCTATACCGGTACTTATTTAATATGCAAGCAGGATTTTTGTGACAATTACTCCTCCGAAACTACTGAACCGATTGAAATGTTTTTAGTGTTATTGGAAAGAGCGTAACGTGAAGTTGTGCAGGACACTTTCTCTATACAGGGTGTCCCGGAACTCTCTACCAATATTTTAGGGCATTGCTCCTGGGTAAGAAACATAACTAAATATCATATTTAAACTGTCCAGAAGTCCTTAGTTACTCACACATCCGCCATTTTGTTTTTTTCAGTTATTTATTTTTTTCTAAAGAATGGTTAAATATACGAAATGGAAACTTTGCACAAACATTTATGACAACTAGACAAAGCTAGCAAATAATTATCACGATTTTTCAAATTCATAAAACAAAATGGTGGCCATTTAAAATTTTTGTAAAATCACTGGTTTTTGAGTTATTTAAGAAAGAAAATTTTAAATGGCCGCCATTTTGTTTTACGAATTTGAAAAATCTTCATAATTTTTTTGTAGCTTTGTCTAGTTGTCATAAATGTTTGTGCAAAGTTTCCATTTCGTATGTTTAACCGTTCTTTAGAAAAAAAATAATAACTGAAAAAACAAAATGGCAGCTGTGTGAGTAACTAAGGACTTCCGGACAATTTGAATATGATATTTAGGTACGTTTCTTACCCTGGATCAATGCCCTAAAATATTAGTAGAGAGTTCCGGGACACCCTGTATAGTGGAAGAATATTAGGAAAATCGACCTAACAAATTCGGACTTAGTGGAAACTTTGCACAGTTGTATAGTAAGCCCAAATAAATAAAATATCAAAAGTCCCCATAAATCCCTGCTGTGCTCTAGCCGCCATCTTGGAAAATGGCGGCCAATTTTCACTTTTTTGACAATATTTCACAAACTATTGGTATTACAGAATTTTTGTAAATACAAAAGTTAAAGAACGTCTATAAATACATCTTTTTTATATTACAAGGTTTGCTCTATCTCTAACGGTTATTGAGATAAATTGAGATAAACGGTTAGTATTAAATTTAAAATTCCCATGTTATTCTTATGGAGGAAAATAAAATTGTTGCAGTTTGCTTATTTATGGATATATTTTGATGAAACTTGGCAAATTTATTTATTTTCTTGTGCTATTAATATTTAACATAAATACACACTTTAGTACCCTCCATATAGCAGTAAACCTAGTACTCGTTAAATTTAAAGTTATTTAAATAGGGAATATATATCCTACATTTTTAGGATATATTTTTAGTAAAAATCCAGTCAGGCAAATGTATATTCATTTGTTAATCATATTAAAAAATAATTTTTTTTTTTATTTGAATGGATTTAATTGATAATAAAATCAGGCAAATGGAAATTCGCTTAGTCTGCAGGTTTGCAGCGGCGGGGGTATGCTTATTCCCTATAGGGAAATTCGCTAAAAGACTTCCCAAGTTTTTTGTTGCTGCGTTCAAATTAGCTGTTTACCTTAAATGAAAAAAATAATAGTGCTGCATCCTGCTGGTAAATCTTATAACTTTTAATGTTTTTTCATATCATAGAACAAACCTTTTTAGTTGATACGGCTGACAAAATTCTTTAATTCCATTTAAATATGATAACTTATAAGGATAACATGGGAAACTCTAGAGCCACTGGGGCGGAGTAGCCTGAAAGGATTTTTGAGATAAAAATATGCCTATCTGTTAATTGGGAATATGAGGTATCATCATGCCAAATTTCAGCCCAATCTGTCCAGTAATTAATGCGTGATTGAACTTCAAACAAACACACAAACTTTTAACATTTATAATATTAGTAAGATAGGTAAATCTATTTCAATGATTATGAAACAGATTTTTCCTGTTGCGAAGCAAAAATTAAAAGTGAGTTTAGAAGAACATATGTTAATTGTAAACAGTCAATGTTTAAATTATCCATGTTGTATTAAAAATGTGTATAGTTTTGGATGTTGGTTTGCGTTTAATGATATAAGTTATTAATTATTGAATTTTTATTTTAAGGATTTGGCATCATTTCAGAGTTCTGCCAGTTTTTGCCTAACTCTGTTCTGTAGAGTTTAACTTAGGTACGATACTTTATAAAAGCTGACAGCCTTATTACGTTGACTTAAATTGTAAGCTTACCTTTTCCCGTCCATGTGCGGTTTGATAGTAACCCTTTAAACTGAGAATAGGACTGTTAATAATCTTAATAATCTAGTTAATAATCTTTTAGTCGACTCTTTCAAAATCATCGGAAATTATGACTGTTATTAGTTTTTAAAGTCCATTGTTAATAAATAATTCCTGTACCTCTTTGCAATTGCTCAATTTAGAGCAACATATACACTAGTTTGCTAAAAACTAAAACCAATTCTCCCGCCCTCTGTGGTAGTTAATGTAGTTTAATGTTAAAAATACAGTATCCTACTTGCAAACATTAAATTTAAAATCCTATAACTTGTTTGGAATGAAAATTTAAAAACTAAGGTAAGGCATCCTATATTTGAAACTAGGCTCAAGTTTTGTGTTTAATTTTTCAGAGAACAAGAGAAAGTCTGATGACCACTTGGAGAACTCGACAGCCAAGACTAAAAGGATGGAAACCAAGTTAAAGTGTTCTGATCTCATTATTTTGGGACTGCCTTGGAAAACTTCTGAACAGCAGCTAAGAGAGTACTTTGAGGCGTTTGGAGAGGTGTTAATGGCACAGGTTAGACCTAATTCTCAACAGACATTCTTATAGGTAGTCAGTTTGCTGTCATCATTCATTGCCATATTCGGTATAGCCTATAATACGCCTATATTAAGTCAATTAATTATTATTCCATTACATAAACCCATTCCGTGGCCGTATATTTTTTGTGGTAAATTCCTTGGTGGGTTGGCATCACTGATCCTCGTAACATCTGTTTACCAAACCGACTGGCTGAGTCATCCTCATGTTAGAGTGTTTTGCACAGACAGTCTTTTTACGTGTTCTTGAGTGAAGTGCATCTATTAAAATAAGATTCTCAAATATATTCACTGCATTAGAATGTGTTGTTGTAAATATTGTTTATTTAAAATGGCGTTTAGATTAAATGCTTTGTTTGAAATTCATTGTAGGTGATGGTGAGTTAATATTGTTCAAAGGTTTATTGCTGATTTTTTTCATCACGATGGTGAAAAACAATACCCAACATTTCGGGATCTGGAATCTGATCCTGTCCTCAGGTGAAAAAAACTTATTTAACACATTACAACTAACAATACACAAACGCCCAACCTAAGTTGGAATACACTACAGAGGCGGGTAGCAGACAGAAAATATGCACTGTAATAGCAGTCAAGTCATGCAAATAATAACCAATCACAAAACACTATAGTCTATAAAAGGTGTAGTATGAACAGCTCACACAATGGAACACTAATAGCACCGTTCGCAATGACTCCATCAATGAGACTGAAGCAACATGGCCGACCAATCGGAAACACGGAGTCAACAGAATTGGCGTCCGGTCCCTTTCTGTAAAAAGAAAATTTACATTGTCATGGCCAACTAAAATGCAGAGGAGGAAAGAATGATGATTCACAATAATTTTAAAGCATTAATTTTTTCCTTCGTTTGTGTATTGGTGATGAAACAACAGTTTCATTATTACAGGTCAAGAAGGACCCCAAGACAGGTCAGTCCAAAGGGTTTGGCTTCATAAGATTTGCGAGCCACGAGGCTCAGATCAGGGTGATGGCTCAAAGGCACATGATTGATGGACGGTGGTGTGATGTCAAAGTCCCCAACTCTAAGGTGAGTCAAAGTAATCGTGAATACCTCTGATATTAGCTTTGTTAAGTGCTCAGCCTTAATCTAACTGACCTACCGGTATCGTACTAATGTGCTTCATATAGAAAAGAGTTTAACAAAATAAAAACAAATTCTAATAAAAAACTAGATGTAAAACTTAAAATATATGTAGTTTCAGACAATTCTCTTAGCACTCTAGTCTAGTTGTATTGAATATTAATTAATTTAGCCTACTTCAAGGAAACCCTTGCTCAAATTGCCCATTTTTTATTAAAGTTCAAAACTTTTTTCCGAGGCAAAGCCAATCCAATACAAGATTATGTTTGTTTAAGATAGTTATCAGGTGCATAAAACTACTACTTTTCAATAAATTAAAACAGTTGATTTGAAATCTACGCCATAAGAAGGGTGAATAATGTAGGTAAGTGGGAGTAGGTTACAGCGACAAAAAAGTAGCCTATTTTTATCCATTTTCATAAACTGTCCTGTTTCTTGTTTAAACTGGCTGTGCATTCACATTTTACCATATATTTAAAGAAATTTGTTCAGCATCACTTTGGAGTTTTGTAAGGGAACTCAGGAAATAAATTGAACAGAAAGGGTGTGAAGCACTAAAGAAAATTACCTTTTCTGTTGTAATTTGTCCCTCCTCAAGATAATAAGCTTTAAGCTGTCAAATGACACCTCAATTGTAAAAATTGGTTATGAAGGATGGGCTTAAAAGGGTTGTAACAGAGAAACCTCTTCTTGTATTAAGTATACAGTGATATTTTAGTTTGTTCAGGAATTATATATTAAACGATTGGTGGAGAGTTAAGAGACACCCTGTATAGATAGATATCAGCATAAAAATTCAGCAGACTGATAATAAAAATAATTGGCATTGTGAATCAGCTATCACTACACTCTCAATAACTGACTCTTATTGACTAGTGTCGTGTTTTTCAGGAGGGCTATGTACAGCAAGTGCCTTGTAAGGTGTTTGTTGGCCGTTGCACAGAAGATATCACGGCTGATGATTTGAGAGAGTATTTCACTAAGTTCGGAGAAGTGACGGATGTGTTCATTCCAAAGCCGTTCCGAGCTTTTGCATTTGTGACATTTCTGGACCCAGACATCGCACAGGCTCTGTGCGGAGAAGATCACATCATCAAGGGAGTGTCAGTACACGTCTCGGAGGCGGCACCCAAGAGCGACATGAATGGTCGAGCGTTTAACCAAGCAATGGGGCCAAGGCCAGGCCCCGGTACCAGGGAACACAAGAGTTACGGAGGCCAATACGGAGGTGGGTCGGGCGGGGGACATATGTATCACCCTCAGCACCAAGGGGGCAACATGGGGGGCTGGAGCCAGCCACCGGGGAATAGGGGCAACATTGATATGCCTAACTTGCAAGCTCTAGGAATAACGGGACAGGGAGGGGCGGGTCAAGCCGGTGGGCAGAACCCCTTGGGTATGGGTACGTTGAATCTCAGTGCCTTACCCATGAATCCGGCCCTAGTGGCGGCGGCACTCAACCAGGCAGGTTGGGGGCTCATTAGCAATCTGCAAGGCGGACCACAACAAGGTGCCCCGCAGGGGGACGGGAATGCGCCTCAGTTCTCCAACCAGGGGGGTCCAGGGTTCAGTGGTGGGCCGCAGCAGGGCGGAGCCACTGGTGGTGCGGGGTTTCTTAACTGGATGAACCAGGGAGGAGGTGGAGGGGAGCAGCCGGGGCCTCCCGGGGGAGGGGGTTCCAACGGACCCTCCCAGCAGCCAGGTTGGGCTCAGAATCCCAGGGGGGGTGAACCCGGCTGTAAACCTGACCAGAAGTTTCTCAATTACAACTGAGTGAGAGTGTGTGTGTGACTATCCATAGGGTACTAGTCTATCAGTGTGTGTGTCTTGTTATTCCCTATCGGTAGTATTGTTACTGTAAGATAGTTCCATTTACCAGTAATTACGATAGCTTTAAAGAAGTTGCGTTTCACGGATTGCGAGTCGTATAAGTCTGTACTATAGTCATAGTATGTGTGTATTTTTCTGAATTGTATGTATGATGTGCGACAGAATTATTTATCCGAGTGAGCTTATTTGTTTGTCTTATGTTTGTGGAAGATTTGTTTCTACTTAAGTGAATGAATCGATATGTACTGAGTGAGCTCTGCGACTGGTTGACTTTTGTACTAACTGATCAAATGAATGGATATGACTTGGGAATTTAAAAGTATGTTTGTAAAAAATTTCAAAAATATAAAAAAGTTATCTCGCTAGATGCATTGAATACCAAACGAAGTACTTGTACAGTCGGAGAAGAAAGTTATGTTATTTCTTACAAAGTTTAATTATTTTGACTTATTGCAGAGTTTAAGTTTTATTATATTATAAAAGACACATTGTACATACAGTTTAAGATTACAGAGTATTGATATGATATTGTTGTGTACGTTTATTAGATTTATCCCTCTCTAGTTTGACTTGAAAGAGCAATTTTGTACTTTTTGAAATTTTAATCGTCTAGTGGTCTATAAAGACTATAGAAAACAAACAGGTTGTAACTTGTCTTCAATTTATTCAAAATTTCGTTTTTAAATAGGATGATTTTTACCTTCACATTATAAAAAATCAAGTGTTGATGAGTATTTGTTTGAATGTTAATGTTTGGTTGAATGACACTCCAAAATCTTACTATGCACTTTGACAAGATTTTATGCATTAAAGTGGTGTGGTATCCAAAGTTGAAACTGACCATAGTTTCGATAAGAACGATGCTAAGCAATAAACCAAGAGATTAAATATTTGTAAACAAATTATTCTGACTGTACATTTAGCTTATTTTGGAATTATTACAATATTGTTTCTACACTTGGTAGAAAGGGAAAAACTTCACAATTTTTCTTTTTTTGTATTAAATTTGTTTTATGCAGAGGATTTATAATGCTTGCAATAAATAATGTTTTATCTGATACAGAATCACACTTCAATGCTCTGTTTTAGCACATTTGCCTTTTAATGAAACAAAACACTACCGAATGTAGTTTAAATGTTTATACATTTCATTTCAGGTTTTAGGCTCTCAGTCTATAGCTGTACTCAATCTCGCAAACCAATAGCTCTGTAAAACTTCAACATTCTAAATGTTTTAAATTTAAGAAAGATAGGCCTATTTGAAGTTTTACTACGGTTAAGATAGAGTTTTCTATGGGAAAGTTGTGTATGGTGTTATATGAAGTTACTGTGTTAGTGTCCGCCACAGTTAGCATTTCAGTGTGCGTGGGAGCGAGAGCATGGTGTGACTGTTTGAAGAGGAGGAGAGCGATCAAAGGTGAGCGAATGGTTGGCTTTTGTTTGGTTGTTTGTAATTTGCTTGTATTGCTAACCTGTTTGTATGAGTATCACAGAGGTTGAATTCCGTTAGCCACCCACCAATTTTAGATTTTTTACCGGTCACCAATTTACATATGTTATATACGTTTTTAACAGTTATTTAGACACCTGTGTTATCTCATACCTAGACCTGCAAACTGGTTATTTTGCATTGTTTTACAACATTTTCACCTTGCCATATTTTTACAGTTACAAGTTTTAAGATTTATTGGCAGCTAACGGAGTTTGGCCCAGAGAAAGATGTAGATAAATAGGGTTCATTGTATTTGTCTGGATGTAAGAGTAAACCTAAATGAAACAGTTTTTTAGCTAGGAATGTTTAGAAAGTACGTGCTGGGTAAACCGTTAGAGGGGATGTTTGAAAGTAAGTATATTTTGTAGTGTAAAAAATATGTTTCTAAATTGTACATGCATCCACAATCTGGTATAATCTTCCCATTTTCCTAAATGTAAGTACTATTGAACAGCGAGTATTGTGTTTTGAAAAGAATTGTAAAATTTCAAATTTTCCATAGAATTGTTTGTTAAGATAGTATCTTATCTTGTGGGGTTCAATTTACTTGACTATTATACATTTTGCAATTAACTTGTTGCAAATAACTAATTAAAGAGTGGTAGTTTTTGTTGGATTCCAGTTTTAGGTTTAAAAGAGTCTTCCTTAGTGGTAGCCATGTTGGATTTCTTCCCCATAAGAACAATGTTAAACATTACATCATTTGTGGACACGTAACGGCGTTATTTGTTAAGATATAGCTTTGAAATTTATAATTTGTATTTTTAACATAATAGACTCGTGACTGAGGTTTTTGAATTTCGAAAATCCATTTTCATTTCCTTTCAACAATTAGCTTAATTTTAAGCTAATTAATAATCAATTATTCATTATAAAAATTAAAAATTGTGAAATAAATAACGTCAATCTCTAGAGGACCAAAATTCCTTAAATTTAACTCCTTATCCATAATTATATGACAATTTGCTGATGAGATATTTGGACCCAAAGTTAACATTGTTCTTATGGGGAAGAAATCCAACATGGGGAAGAAATCCAACATGGCTTCCACTAAGGAAGACTCTTAAAGTGAATTTCCTATAAAAGGGAATCTATTACCATAAGCCTCATTTAAGACCTTGGTTAAGGAGAAAATTTCAAAAAACTGTTAACTAAAATTTTTATAATTCTTATGTAGTGTACACTGTTGTTTCTTCATAATGTTGATAAAAATATAATTGATTTTATTTAATACTATTAACATTTCACTAAAAAAACATTATATTATCTTTACTGCAGCAGCAAACCTATGTACTCGTTAAATTAATATTATTTAAATTGGGAATAAATCTAACACTTTTAAGGAGATATTTTAGTGAAAATAGGCTATTATCAGGCAAATGGAAATTTGTTCAGTGTGCAGGTTTACTTTTGCGAGGCTATTTGTATATTTGTCTTTACTGGTCTGTTTGGTGATCAACTGCAATAGGTTACTTATCACACAGACAATGATCTACTGCAGTTGTATGAAAGCCGTGAAAGTCAGTCACATGTATAAGCCAGTGGTACTGCAGTAGTTACATATTGCAGGCGTCCGGTCTCAAACCATCGCATTTAATTTATGATACCGTATTATACCGTGAGCCCTATTTATCTTTATCCTTTCTCTTTAACAAACTAAGAGCTCTCCATATAGACATGATTAGTTTTTTTTATGTTTTTAATATTAATCAAATATTATGAGTGATAACTAACAACAATTTTTGAAGTAAAAAATGGGTGAGGTTCACCAATCCCAAATTTCACCAGCACCAATAGTACAGTAGACTCCCTCTTATCCCTTTTAACCGGACATCGGTTTAACCGGACTACACTCGGCAGAAATTACACCTCTTTAACCGGACAATTCTTATCTGCACATTGGTTCAACTGGATTAGATCGGTAGGAAGTGGGCTGTACTGAAACGACTGTTCTCGTGGGAAAGATTTGAGACCAGTGATCACGTGTCTAAATACAATGCTCTCCTAAATTTTAGTCAAATATTTGGGTTACATAACAAGTTTTTGGGGACGTTGGTTTAACCGGAAAACCTGTTATCCGGACTGGCCTCGGTCCCAAGGAGTCCGGATAAGAGGGAGTCTACTGTATAGTATTTAAATAAACTTTGTTTCACAAACTTGCTTTACTTTATACTTTTCTTTGAAATAGCGACCATACAAATGTGGGTATTTTAAGCCAAGTATGAATAATGGAGATGAGTGTGATGAGTGGCGCGATCTTGTAGTCTTGTTAGTGACTAACCCTGACTCTGACAAAATCCTTAGACACAGCTGTTAATTAATACCCATACAGCTAATGGCAACTAAGGGACCTACAGTTTATAGTGAAATCCGAACCACTTTTTTGCCTTTGTGTATACAAATTGGTCTAATTATCAGGATAGTACTGTGGATAGTCGTAGTACTCACTAGTGCGGACATTAATCCACTCCATGGAGCATCGCATCCACAGTGCATGCCTATAAATATCCACAATTCGTGACTTCCTAGTAGCTGGATTACAGGATGACGCCAGGACGTCACCGTCCCAGTCACCATTGGAGTTTGAGAAACGACGATCATTTAAAATTTATCTTATGTACTTGGTGAAATCTGAAGTTTGTGAATCGCTCTGTTTATTTTAACATTGGAGTTGGTAAAATTTGGGTTTGCGAAACGCTCCCAAAACAAATATTGTTCTATGATAGTTTTTTTGTGAAATAACACTTAGAAGGTGACTTATTTTTAATTTGGGTAGCTCGGTCCCAAAATAGTGTTCTTCTTAATTTTATTAAGTTAATTATATTTCATTTGGATGGCTTGAATCCCAATAAGTCCGGTTTGATGAGGGTGTAATCTACTTTTATGTAGTGTCCATGCATCTAGTAACATTTCATTTATCTGAGACTTAACCGAGTAGCTAACCAAGAGGTTTTTACCAGAATGGTTGGTATCCCCAAGACAGAATTTTTCATTTATTATGCATTTTTTATTTTTTTTTTATTATGCATTTTTTTCAGAATTAAGTGTGTGCAGTTATAAGGTTTTTGACTGCAATAAAACTACAAACCGATAGAAATCTATCAGCAACTTTGTGAAGTTTATGGAGAAAACATTATTACTGAAGGTCGAGTTCGACAGTGGGTCATCAAATTTAAAAATGGCCAAACTAACGTTCACGACGAAGAGCGAAGTGGAAGACCCAGCATTGTGACTGCCGAACTTGTAAAAAAATATCCATGCCGATGTCCGTAAAACTAAGTTCACAATAACAGAACTCTATGGGTTTTCCACAAATTTCACAAAGTTTGTTGCACGAGATCATAACCTAAAGGCTTGGTTACCAAACTGTAACCAAAGAGTCCATTAATTTTTCTTCCACACACTTCACAGTTCGCGGCATTTTCAATTAACACAGACATTTAAAACTGTCACAGTAACTCAACGGAGTACAGCAGAAACCTCTTACTAGCACAGCTAGATGCCAACTGGGCTGCATAACAAACTAACACCAAGATGGTCGTGCTAGGTCCACCCCTAGCGGATACAGACAAAAACATTACCTACTTTCTGGATAGTCCTCGTAGATTATGATAGTTTGAATGTAAGCCTCTATTTGTAGATTTATCATGTGTAAATCAAGTGAAGCTAATTTTAAAGCCCATTTCCCAGAGTTTTGTAGTGTGTGTTTTTCTTATTTGGCTTATTTTTAACCAGACAATAGAATTTATTGCTTTTCCTCTGGTTTTATAAACAGTGGGTAAGTTACTTTTAAAATAGAAAAACATATTATTCAACATCAGCATCCTGATAAAAATAAGTGTTTCAGATGATTCTAAGTAACCGGGATTAGATGGTAATAGCTACATAAACTCAGCTTAAGCATTTTAGCTATTTCATTGGCAGAACTTATTTTGATTTAGCTTATTTAATTGATTGTTTTCATTTTAGTTCAATAAGCAATATCAAATTTGTAAAAGCAAATGCATAGTTTCATTGATAAGGCGGCCATCCAACGTCCGTCCTAAACTCTTGTTTACAAAACAGTGCTATTTAAACAAATGACTGAACAGTTATATATCACAACCTACCACTTTAACAAAGGAAAATAAACACAGCTTGTCATTTTGGCAACAAACTGTTATAGGACCTTTTGACAAAGCTTATGTTTCATCCAGTAAATCATAGTAAAATTCTTATTTAATGAATGTCAGAAGGATTTAATATTTCTCCAAAAATATTTTGCCACTACCCACAATAAGTTACACCTTTCCCTTACATTAAACGTAAAAATAACAATTATAATGTAGTGTAAATGAAAGATTACAATGAACAAAAGGCCGCACTATCAACGAACCTGTGATTTTTTTTTATACAAGTATCTTTGTAAGAATGATTTATAAGATTTCAACAAGTAGGGCCTATGTCTAAAACTGAACTGAAAGTTGTCCGACAAGATCACATTAAGTGTTTGTTTAGGTTTACTATTACCTTACTGTATTTTTCTTGTATTTTAGACTAATCTGGTTCTTTAGTCTTCTGCCAATATAACTCTGCAGGATTACTAACTGATAATTTCTCTTTTATAGGTTGGTATGCTGATGGGGGCTGATAGTTTATAGAAATCACATGATTTGTGGTTTTATCCTGTCGAGTGAGTTATGGTGAGTAAATTTTTCAGAGGTATGTTAAAGAAATACCACAAAATAAAAACTTGGTTGTTATTTAGTGCCGTTTGCTAAACATGGATCTTATTATAGGTGTTCTTGAAATAAAATTTGTTTCGTACTTAAAATTGAATAATCAGTTTTGAAATTATTTTAGTAATGCTGGAATAAAAATTCCAACCATATGACCAAACCGATCAAATGTATGATTTGACATTTTTAGAGGTTTTAACAGAATGATTGGGTAAGAACCTTTACTTTGTTTGATCTTATGACCAGCCACTAATTATTTAAAAAAAGAAACAATTTTATTGTTTCATCCAAAAAATTTGACAAAAAAATGGGTTATGAGGAGCATAATATTTAACAGAAACTGCTGGGACGGTAACTAAAATTTCACTTTTTAGTTTTTACAGCCCGTTTACATTGCCCAAATGACTGCAGATGGGGTTCAAAAATACCATATACTTGTATTTTCTTCTATTGAGGTGTATTTTTGCCAGCCGGTTTGCTCGTCTGCTGCACTATCCCCACAAAATTGATTGATAATTGAGTTTTGATCTCAGTGAACCATTTATCTAAATGTGTACCCAATTTCCACTTTTGACAGTTTTATGTAGCAATATAACTATTGATTGTGTTTTTAACACAACCTACTTGTTTATATATTTTTTAAATCTTCATTATATGTTGGATGGCCTAGTTATTAAATAAGTTACTCCCTATTAAAGAAATTCTCTTGCGAAAACTCTTGTTTCATAGTGTTGAAAAAAAAGATTTGTTTCCAATGTTTGCAGTATCTCCTGATCAAATGTTTAAACGGTTTGATCAACATAACCCAGTTTTATATTTAAGTAGTTTGTAATCATAACAGGGATAGTTCTCTTGATAGTTTAGGGTTGGTAGTTTTTCTTCAAGATTCCGGCTTGGATTAAAGAACGAGATTGTAGAATGCATCCTTTTTCCCTCGGGTTTGAATGACATTTTTCAGACTATAATGTGACAATATTAAAAATTTTCTATAATAATGGGATTCATTTACAGATCGGATAGTTATAAAATAATGTTAAACCAATTAATGATGAATGTGTGTATTAATTTTGTTGTAATTTATTGCAGTGACTTGTCAAGTGCAAGTGTGAGTGGCGGAGGGTGACGTAACGTATCCTAGTGTGTTCTTGGTGTCCAATGGTGTGATTGTGTTGTGTGAACGTACGCGCACATTACTGGGGGAGAACTGAGGCGAAACCAAAACCTGCCAAATAGTCATAAGTGTCTTTAATACTAGTGTTAAGGGTTTTTTCTTTTGTTTTTTTGTTGATTACAGTAGAGTCTTGATTATATGACTTAGACCCCCGGATGCGGCCAGCGAGGAATAGTAAAAACATTTATACTTATGCGTGTGTACTACATTAATAGTTTGCCTTTTGTCAAACTTCTTCATGCTTTAAACTGTCATCACTCATAATACTTATAAAAAGAGCAAAATTCTTTCAGCAACGTAGGTTTCTTTTCTTTTGATATCATGATTCAAAAAAGAATCAGGGGAGAGGAATTGTGGGATATGCTACTGCTAAAAAAAGAATGTGCAGGTGCCTAGAGCCTGACCGGTATCTGCCAAGTATCGTCAGGGGAATAAAAGGAGTTACCTTGATGCACTACAATAATAATATACAATTATATCATACGGGAATTGTATGAGAAACAGCACCCCATCGGTCATCCACAAGCAAGATCAGATATCCAAAGATTGAATAATCGAGACTCTATTGTATTTACAATTTTCATACAGATGATTTAGCCATTGCTTATAAAATTAATTTGAACAAGGATAGAAAATGTATTACTTCTACTTGTTTCATAATATTTATTGAGCAAACATCTGACAGATATAACTTAGTGAGCGTGTTATATTAGATGTACAAGAAAATATTTCTATCAATATGTAACTCCAAAAACCCAAAATACAACTAATCAACCCTCTTAATCACTAAATTATCTCGTAACAAATGGAATGTTATTTGATCTACCCTGTGAACCCCTATTGAGTTAACAATTGCGGCAATTTTTTCTTGCTCTATTTTAAATATCACATCTTTCAGTCATTTGGTCCGAGATTCGTAATGTCCATTCTTCTGGAATATCTGGTTACTAGTTACGAACACCTTTTATAAAATTTGTTATAAAAATATTACTCTATTTTAAATATTACATAAAAAATATATATTGGTGGGTTTGTTAAGTACTAACAGTAGATCCGAGACGACAGTTTGTCATTTGTGTTTGTTGGTAGGCTATTACAACAACACGGGCCGAAGGGAGGGGTACAACAACATGCCTCCGAGAAGTGGTGGATACTACTAGGCAGCATCCAGCGCCTTCTGAGCAAACCTTGGCAGGACGAAGGCTGCTCGGTGCACGTCTGCATTGTAGTAACGCAGTTTCATCTTGTCCAGTTCATCTTCTGAGAATATCCTCAGAGGTTCCTTGAAATTTATCTCCTGTAACAACGAATCCTGTTTGTTTCTTGTTCAACATTGTTGCTGGTTATGAGAGGTTTTCAGTAAATATCATATTTGATGTTGACTTTGACTTATTTTCCTTTATTTTTCACTCTGAAAAATGGAATAATTATAGGGTCAAATTATTAGAGTGGTAAGATGTGCATGAGCACAAGGACTCTTCCCCCACCACTGTTACTTTTGTTGTTTTGTACAGACATCATGAGACAATTACCAGAGGTTTTGCCAGAGTTATCTGTATTGCAAGAGTGGATTTTTTTAAAGCTACGATTATTGAAGAAAGGTTGCAAAAAAGCTTTTGGAGCTCATGGTCCTTTCTCACAAATTAGTTGATTGACATTAGTTCCCTGGGAAGAGTAAGGACAACACTTCCTTTGAAAAAGGAAGGACAAACTTTTTGTCACGTTTGTGTTTTTACAGGGTTAGTAAATAGTCTGGAGACCCCCTGTTAATTTTTTAACAGCCCATACTAGAAAAACTAAACTCGGCACACAACTTTATAGCATGTTATGAAGTACTTTTTGGGCATAACCGCCACTTGGTGTATATCCCCAAATGGGGGTTTTGGGGGGGAAACTAAAAAATTTCAAATGACAAGATCCACCGAGTGACCCTTCATTTTGAAGGTCCTGGTAAAAGAAAACCAACAACGCAAACTAGATGTCTCTATCTCAATCCAATAAAAAATGGCAGCCAATTGAAATTCTCAGAAGTGAAATTTAACTTGCAGCTATTTTAAGTCTGAAAACCCCCTGTAAATTTTGTAATGACTCACACTAGATAAATTTCTCCCAAAATCCCCCATTTTGGGGATCTACACCAAGTGGTGGTTATGCCCAAAAAGTACTTAATAACATACCCGGTCATAAATGTGTGCAGAGTTTAATTTATTTAGTGTGAGTCGTTACAACATTTACAGGGGGTTTTCAGACTTAAAAAGCTACAAGTTAAATTTCACTTCTGAGAATTTCAATTGGCTGCCATTTTTTATTGGATTGAGATAGAGACCTCTAGTTTGCGTTGTTGGTTTTCTTTTACCAGGACCTTCAAAATGAAGAGTCACTCGGTGGATCTTGTCATTTGAAATTTTTTAGCTTCCCCCAAAACCCCCATTTTGGGGATATACACAAGTGGTGGTTATGCCCAAAAAGTACTTCATAACATGCTATAAAGTTGTGCCGAGTTTAGTTTTTCTAGTATGGGCTGTTAAAAAATTAACAGGGGGTCTCCAAACTATTTACTAACCCTATATATATATATATATATATAAACACAAACGTGACAAAAAGGTTGTCCTTCCTTTTTCAAAGGAAGTGTTGTCCTTACTCTTCCCAGGGAACTAATGTCAATCAACTAGGGATTATTTGTGAGAAAGGACCATGAGCTCCAAAAGCTTTTTTGCAACTTTTCTTCAATATTCCCAAAATCCCCCATTTTGGGGATGTACACCAAGTGGTGGTTATGTCCAATAAGTACTTAATAACATACCATAAACGTGTGCAGAGTTTAATTTATCTAGTATGAGTCGTTACAAAATTTACAGGGGGTCTCCAGACTTAAATAGCTGCAAGCTGCAAGCTAAATTTAACTAAAAATAGGTATTTACCTTCGTCTACAGCTCAATCTGTTGTAACTTGAGTTACGGCCGTTTCGGCATTATAATGCCATCTGAAACGGCCGTAACTCAAGTTACAACAGATTGAGCTGTAGACGAAGGTAAATACCTATTTTTAATTAATATCACAGCTCAGGGGCTAAAAATAGATTTTAATAAATTTAACTTCTGAGAATTTTAATTGGCTACCATTTTTTATTGGATTGAGATAGAGACCTCTAGTTTGCGTTGTTGGTTTTCTTTTACCAGGACCTTCGAAATGAAGAGTCACTCGGTGGATCTTGTCATTTGAAATTTTTTAGTTTCCCCCAAAAACCCCCATTTTGGGGATATACAAATGGCGGTTATGCCCAAAAAGTACTTCATAACATGCTATAAAGTTGTGCCGAGTTTGGTTTTTCTAGTATGGGCCATTAAAAATTAACAGGGGGTCTCCAGACTTTTTACTAACCCTTTGTATATATATCACAAATATAACTTAAATAAACAATTAATTCTTTTTAGTTAATTCTAGTACTTATGTTTTCCTGAACATAATTAATATTTATCATCCCGTCTCTACTTGAGTTACACAAGATGGTTGTAACACAAATTCAAATTGGATAGTAGCCCAGTCCTGATCCTTGTGCTTGGAATATCTACTACGAAAAGGCTTGACTGTTAGGAACCACTTATACAATCTTCAAGGGCAAATTTATATAAGATTAAAGTTACGATGTATATTCAAATTGGTTAGTAGCCCAGTCCGGATCCTTGCACTTGGATTATCTACTACAAAAAGGCTTGACTGTTAGGAACCACTTCTACAATCCCCAAGGGCAAATTTATATAAGATTCTATAGTCCATGGTATGTTGTGCAACTGTTCCATTCGGTGTTCATATACAGTAGCAGAGCACGTATGTAAAGTTGCTATGGCCTACCTTATCCAGACTGCCCATAACATATCCTATCTGGCCAGTAGGGTAGGTGGGGACTGAGGTGTAAGCGTAGGCAGCTCGAGGAAACACCTGACGACAGTGTGAGAATGTACGACACACATGGTCCAGCCCAGCCCACACTGTACCAGCCTGGCTGCAGACGACGCCACCTGGCCGCAGGGCCTCGCACATCAGCTCAAAGTAGCTCTTCTGGAAGAGCGAGACGGCTGGTCCTGTGTTGAACAACTTGGGTTTTACATCTGAACGGACTTTCTTTACCTCCCAAATTATAGGTTCAAACCTGAGGAAAGTCGTCCTTTAAGATTACATGAAACTGGACCCAACTATCTTTGACCGTTGAGTTTTTCAACTTATCTTTTTCAAGCTATCTTACAAATACTTTTAAACCATTTTTGTGTGGTCATGTGCGGCTGCACTTTTTGAACGTGCCTAAGGCCAGATCTGGACTGAAGTCACGTGTACACCCAGCAAATGGCAGAAGCATTGTTGAACATCTACTTTACGGACTACAGAAAAAATGTAACAGAAAAGTATTTACCAACAGGGTCTGAAGAATCAGTTATGATAACATCAAAAGCGTTGCGGTGCTCAGCCATAAACTTGAAACCGTCACCAACATGGACGCTCAGCTTGGGATGAGACAAGCCGCAACTCATGAACGGAAGATGTTGGCGCGATGTTTTCAACACAGCCTCATCAATTTCCACCTGAGAGATAGCCTCCACAGCTGGATGTTTGGCTACTTCCCTAGCCACTCCTCCATCCCCCCCTCCGACGATCAGAACCTGTGGTCAATGGTACAGCATTTATTAGTTTGGAAAAAACGAGTAATGTAGAAACAAGATGTAGTTGGGAAGCTGTCCAGACTTCTTAGAAATTATTTTTTTGAATAAAAAGCTAAACTAGCCTAACCTAATATGTTTTTGCTTTCGTCATCCAAGAATATTGACATACAATAGACTTCCTCTTATCCGGACTCCTCGGGACCGAGACCAGTCCGGATAACGGGTTTCCGGTTAAACCGACGTCCCCAAAAACTCGTTAAACCAGACCGTTTAAATGCATACTGTATACAGTATTTGACTTAAATTTAGGAGAGCGTTGTATTTAGACACGTGATTACTAGTCTCAAATCTTTCCAACGAGAACGTCGTTTCAGTACCGCCCACTTCCTGCCGATCTACTCCGGTTATCCCGATGTGCTGATAAAAATTGTCCGATTAAAGAGATGTCATTTCTGCCGAGTGTAGTCCAGTTAAACCGATGTCCGGTTAAAAGGTGTATGGTTAAGAGGGAGTCTGCTGTATTGGTATTGACAAAGCCTTCATAGTAGCAGTAACCTCAATAGTTGGAAAGTTTCCTTTAATGCCAGTTGTTATAGTAAAAATAATTAGAACTGCGTACTAAATGGGTAAATACCAAAGATCACATAAGACCAATAGATGGAGCAAACATTAAAGCAGGTGAAGCCAGGTCCGCCATCTTACTGTAAGTTAGATGCGCTAGATGTCGATGAAAACGGCACCAAAACTCAATGTTCCGCTTCAAAATAACTCGGCATTTAGCCTACTTAGACTAAAGGTAAATTGTTGAAACTTCGTATGAATTATATCAATAAGTCTAGGACACTATTGGTTCTAATTAAAAGCTTAAAAGTTAATATTTTCTATTTTAAATCTTCAAATAAAGTCGGTACTTTTAAATGAGTTTTAAAATATGACATGAAAAAGTTCGTCGGCTGCTACTTTTTTTATTTTTTGGTCAGGTAAGTTAAAAAAAGGTGGATTTTGTAGCTAAAGAGTTGAATTTGTTGTATCATTTTTTTTTATTTTTAGCTGGTGTAGTTTAATTTAGGTTGTTTTTAAATTGTAATATATGGGGCTACCCGCCGCACCGCGTAGCGTCATGCGGACAGATTCTGCCTACAACCTCACTTGTAATACAGTTTAAATACTCAAGTTTGGAGCTATACAGAAAGTTTACTAAAATAATTAGAAAAACACGGAGTACATATAAATGTTCTTCGTTTTATTTTTTGTATTCATCTAAAAATTAATATTTTTTAGCTCTAAAAAAAATTAATATGCCAGTCAAAATATAAAGGAGAATTGTATAAAGAGTTTCAGAAACTATATTGTGACTTTGAAAATGCGTACATTGTAAACCAAACGCCAGAACTTTATCAAACTTTAATACGATATAGATACATATAATAAATTAATTTGTGGCTTTTCAGAATTTTTCTTTTGCCCAAAAAGTTTTTGTTGTTAATTATGTAAACTAACCTTTTCTAAGAAACGGTTAACGCTAGAAAACAAATTACATAAAAGCGTACTTTGAAGGTCATTGTGTAAATAATAAAAAAATTTATAGTATAAAGGCGTATTGTCACGGATATCTTTGATATAAACTAACATTTAATTAGTTGCACCCGCTATTAGGGCTCAACACAGCTGGCAGCCGCCATCTTAGTGAAGATTGGTGAAAAATACTCGCTTCACGTTGTGGCCAACATGCTCCATCTATTGGTCTTGTGTGATTATTCGTAAATACCAGCAACTACGCTTTCTCAACCCAAAGAGTAAAATAACCATATCTTTACTAAGTTACAAAGTTAAGCCCAACAAAAACTGCTAAAAGATGTACCTTATATGTGGTGGAACCTGGTAATCCAGCTCAGAAAAACTAGACTTGGGCGATAGGTAAACCAGTGCTGTTTTTGGAGTTGATCGACAGTTAGATCTAGTTATGACTGAGCTAGTTGTCTCCCAAACCCAGAAACGGTACCTTAGGCAGACGTTTTGAATTTCTCTCAGTCAGGTTAGGTGTAAAACTAATAACGTCATCTGTCAGTATGAGAGTATGGTGGGCGAAGAACTGTATTAAAAGGGGGGGAACTGTTGACGGGTGGGTTCTTTACGAGTTGCACCTCAAATTAGACTTGAATGAAATTATATTTTGAACGATCCCTGAAGAGTGAAGATAATCCGGATGATTGAGCTAATCTAAAATAATAATCCAATTAAGGCCTAAAAGAAATACCTTTTTTGGGTTGGGATGACTACAAAGGGGCAAGAACGAGATCATCTCCTGGTACGAGAACTCATCAGCCTCCGTGCACTGTATGATGCCATCCAGAATTAATGCTTTCCCATGATTCTTTCTGCAATACAAAGTACTTTACTTACTTTAACTAGGCCTACTGTATGATAATTAATTATTAACAAGTTCATAAAATATATCTTTTACTACAATTTTATAATAGGCTAGTGTAGTTTTGAAAAAGACTTTTAGGGACTATTTGACCATCGTTTTAGGAAAATACAAAAAAATATCTTATTCAAATCTCAGTGAGAGAGATTAGGCTCTTGTTTAGGTTGTAAAAACTTTGAGGTTCTTAACTTTGCACCAACATTTATTCACAATACAGTTGAAAAATACTTTTAAGTGTGTGTATAAACTTTACACAAGCCATCATTGACTCAAACAGATTCAAAACCTTGGTTGAGGCAGTTTTTCAGTTTTATTGCTTTTGGTGGATTCATTTTTTGCTTGTTTCTACACCAGTAGCCTATTGAATTTTTCCATGAAGTAAATGCAAACACTTATAAGGTTAAGCTGTCCAAAACAATTGACAAGGTTAAGTTAGCGGAGTTAAGTTAGAGTTTAATCAAAACTCCATTCAGGAAAAGTTTTTTTCCAGATCGCAGATATCGCTAATGCTAATAGGATTTTATGGAAGTTTTAAGGAAAGTTAAAATTCAACGACCTTAAATAATAAATTTGACAGTAAATAATTGAGCGGAGCGAGCGAAGCTCTTATAAATTTGATAGTAACTTGTAGTGTTCTCCATGAAATATAACATCTTATTGTATGGTAAAAACAGTAAATGTTCAGGTAGAATGATTCCGTTACTAAGCATTTTACTCACAAATTGGGAGTTTGAGATGGATACAAAAAAATCTCTAAAATAATTTGCCAGCCTTGAATAGGCCTAATAACTTAGTTCGGTTAAATAACAAAATTTTACTTTGAAGTAATAGGAATTATGTTAAATAAACATATATAGCCTAACAAATCAATAAGATTAAATACAGTAGGCTTACTAATTAAATATCACATAACAAAATTGTTTGAAATATATCTACGCTATATTTACTTTTAAAACACGGATACTTGCGTTTCAAGGACCATGACATCTTGATATTGGGACTTCTCAGAATGCAGTACTTTTTCTACTTGAAGAGAAAGGCACATGCCTGGCCAAAGGTCACTTAACTCACTAAACCATCCAGTTTTCAGAGAGTTCATTCCTCAAGGTGTCTATAACATGATAAAAAAATATATTATTGGCATAATAACAACTTAAATGTTTAGTCTTTAGATTAAATTAGGCTATAGGCCTAACAGAAAAAGAAAATAATGGCTAGAGGAAAATGTCAAACTGCGTTTTACTTATGAATTGAGGCAACTGTTCAGTTCTGCAGAGAACCTGCGATATATAAACAGATGAATAAATGTTATTATCAATACTCATCCGATTCAATATATCGTTCCTAAGTATATGTTTTCTTCAATATCTTAAACATCAAATTAAGTTATGATTTGTTTACGATTTTATTGATATTTAATCAATAAAAAGAATTATATATCCTTAAATCACAAAAAAAAAAATAATATTTAATTATAAATACCTATAAAAAACAACTTAAGCCACAAACTAGATAAACGAACTAAAGCCTTTGATTTTGCTTTTTTTACGAGTACAAAATTTGTTCTTTTAGAAAATTAAAGCAGTTTTCAATACTTTTAATGTGATAACTTACCTAACACTGCATAGGGATTATAAAATTGATTGTTTCCTCCATTTTTAGTCGTAATTACTTAGGATGTAATTAATTTAAGGATAAAATAAACACAAAAAGCAGGTACTTACTGTTTCTTCACTGTGCTACGCTGACATCAATTGAAAATATTGATTAATAATCAATATTTTTATCTACAAGTTATCAATTATAAAATGAAATTGTCATAACCTAACCTAACTAACCAAACTTGCTTATAATGAAAAAATCGAATGAAGGTTTATTAATCGAATTGATAGTTTTAATCGAGGCTGCACTTTAGTTTACGTCCTGGACATTTACTCACATATGTAAGTTTACTGCAGTTTGGTTAAGGTTAGGTTTAGTTTCGAACAGTTTCATTTTATAATCAGCTGGTAGTTAATGTATAATGCATAATAGTATGTAGGACCTAAACTAAAGTGCAACCTCAATGGATTTTAGCGTAGCCCAGTTAAGAAACTTAAACCCAAAATTTTTTTTAATGTTTTTGTTTTTATTTATTTATTATGTGGTTTTAAAAAATCGATGCAATATTTATATCGAATCGGATACATATTGATATGTATCGTTATTCATCTGAAAATATATCGCAGGTTCTCTGCGGAACTGTACCCAAGACAACTTCCATTAGACCACCAGATTTACTATAAACATAGAATTATGCTGCACAACAACATTTCAATCAATCAAGCTATGCTGGTCAAAGACAAAGACTTCATGACGTATCAATGGATATTTGCTTGATGGGAGGTACAAGTTACGTATGTTTTAAATCAGGGAGAAATACAATTAACGAATTAACTATTAGGTTGAGGTGCATGATTCAAAACTAGGCTTAAATAATTAGTTTTGTGTAGCCTAGGCCTAGGGAAGATATGTAACTGCCTCTTTGAGGCATAAGATTTAAATGATAAATTTATACTGTCCAATACATTAAAATTAATAATCGGATTGATGGATATCTACATAATATGATGATTTTTGATTTAATTGGTTACACTGCATTTTAACAAATTACTTTTCATCAAAAAGAGCCGAAGTACAGGCCTATTTGATTTTTTTTTTATTTTACATGCAAAATCTATACAGTTTCGAAGTCCCACCTTTTTTACAATGCAAACACATAACTGAACTTAATGATTGTCTTACCATAAAATGTACAGTCAATTTTCTCAAATGCTACCAATCAAACTAACCTGTTATTCCAACCAACCAAACAAGTTTGAGAGACCGACAGCAGTCGACACTCGCGCGTGCTGCAGACGAAGCCAATGAACTCCTGACTCTGACTCCAACTCAGCTGACTACGGACAGTTCATAAGCTAAAGAATGGCGGGGAAAAAGTTTGATGACGTAGCCTACAAATGAAACGTTGCCAACTCATCCAGCACCAACTTCTGAGAGTAAAAAGAGCATTAATTGTCTGACTATTATCATAGATAAAACATACTCCCTTGTGTTGGTTAGTCTATGCTATTATGCTGTTAGAAGATACTATAAAATTCCAATTATTGTCTATGCATTGTAAACTTCATTAACTAGGGAAGATTGGGTTTAAAATATAAAATTATTTATCAATAACCCCATTAGACAGTGCAACACATAACAATAAAACCAAGGTTGCGTTATGGGTCTAATAAATACCAAACACACATAATCCAAACTATTTTCATTTCTAATTCCGTTCACTAATAGTTAATGTAGTCCGTTGATAACCACAATTTTTATATTACATGAGCATCCTGAGTCCTGACTTTTTTGTCACATTATCATTTATTATAAATGTATTATAATATATTTTTATTATGCATTATTATAAAATGTAGCCTCCATTGGCTTCATATTGATCTCTAAAGAGGTTGAAAAACAATCCCAGGCTCGTGCCTAGCGTCATAGGAGGACAAAAAAGAAATAATAATAATTTATCTCTTGGCGGTTGATCTAAATCGTTTCTTTATTGATTTTCAATTTGTTCACCACAATTCTTATTTTAGGAACTCAGTTCGAGGACCATAGATCGTGCCAGCAAAGTTGGATTAAGAGTCCAGCAATTTTGACCTTTTCTATCTCGGCCGTGTTATCAGTTGAACTTTTACCAACCCGTTTAAACACTAGGTTGTCTGTTCCAGATTGTGGCTAAACATTAAACAAGAGGCTGTTACTCTCAATTTGTGCGTCTGAATTGTTCTTGAAAATACCAATCGCATACGAATTTTAATTAATATTTTAAAAGTTAGTTACAACAGTAATAGTTATTTTTAGTAAATTTGGCTTGGCTAATGCATTTGTAATATGTGTTAATCTGGCTAAATAAATGAGTTATTAAGAATGCTGGAAGAGAAGTAATAAACTTCTCGTTCTCGTCTAATCTTGTGTTGTCGTGCGTAATTCCTATCATCCATGTACTTACTTGTTTAAACGCTGCAAATTATTTAATTAGTTCTATATAGTTTCTTGAATATCTGAAAATATTTAATCAACTAACAACTAACTATACAACCTCAACTAAGTTTAACTGAAACACTGATTAATTAACTAATTACTTATCAACTAACTACAAGAACTATACTCAATTAATTAATGGCACATGTTTGGTTTATTACATTTTTACTTTCAGCGAATGATAGCAAATTATTTTTAAAAATTTAATAAAAACACGACCATTGATTGACTTTGGATTATGCAGATGAAGTAGATTCTTCGTCACACTGTAAATATAGGAAGCTAAGGGTCATCTTTATTTTTAAATCGCTTGAGCGCATTGTAGCCTAAATGTTACTTTTTAGTTTTATGCTATATTTTGCAATGCATGTTTTAATCTTTCTTTGCTGCGTATAAAACAAAATAACAATTACTGTTTTAGCTTACACATAAAATAGTTCTTTTTGTTGTTATAGGTAATAATTCAAAAGTTAGTATCAAAAGGATTGCGGACCCACATTCGAGCGTTGTATACATAACATGACTTGATATTTTCTTCTCGACTTCCGTTTGCAATATCACTATAATGACGATAAATCAATAATGGAGTCTATTTTATAATGGATTTATATCTATATGAATCTGACGCTACGCAACATTTAGCGTAAAACAAATTAATGGACCGATTGATTGTTGCTGGGATGGGAAACAAACGAGCAATTCATGAAACTTTTTTTTCTTATTTTATACCGTTGTTCTTATTATCAAACTACAACAGAAGGTTCTATCGGTTCTTAACAAAAATTATTCCCATTTTTTCACTTTACAATACTCTTTTTCCAGTTCTATCAATATCAGCTAACTTTGGTTAAAAATGCAAATAAAATGTCAAAACTTAAATTGGTTTCAATATAGCAGCCTATTGCATCGTATTACAGACAAGGGAATAAATAGATCTCATTTAAATTTAACTTAAGATTCAAGATTTAATTTTAGGGGTTACTAATCCCTTGTCTGTGATTGTACTGTATAACTGGACAAAGTCCACGCCACTTAATTCCTTATACATAGGACATATATAAAACATATGGGAAGAAAAGAAACAGGTGATTTGTTTCTGTACCAATTGGCCTTGTGAATCAATAATTTCAGGTTCATTGTCATCACCTGTAGCCGCGAGAAAATGACCTTCATCCTCCAAGAAATCACAGATGATTGCTATCATCAATAGAACGGTATCAGCAGTGACGTCATCAAGGCCATCCACGGGACCACGGCCTTCTTGGTTTTGTGTCCGCTGGCCATCTTCAGTTGTGAATCAGTGATGGAAACTTCAGCGGCATTGTTGTCTCGTGCATTTTGTCTATTATTCTTAGGTGAGCTGAACTATTTCTATCTTAAAAATTAAACATTTAACTGTAAGCATTGTATTATCCAGCTTCAGCTTACATCATTGTTCTTGGAAATATTCTCAACGAAATTATTTATTTATGAAGTTGGTATTTCAGGTCAACAGATAAGCTATTGTTTGCAAACTTGTGTTATCTATTAAACAAGCTATTCTCTGTTTATATGTTTGCCTTCAATTTTTATTGCGTAGTTGAATAGAATGAACCATCCATCAATATATTTAAATAGACTATATACAATATGGTCAAATAAAAGTGTTGTTCTCTTTTTTGTTATATCTATCTGCATTTCCACAGTTCATTTATTTTTATAAAGAATAGTTAAAAATACCACCCTGGCACCTGTATTGTAATAAACTGTATTTCAAGCTTTCAACAAAAAGTGGATACTTAAACTATTTTTTTATTATGATATATGTATAATTCTTTGGCATGAGTTAGTCATTGAAGATGTACTGTATTTAGTATTTTATAATGAGTTTCTTAAAAGACAATTTACTGAACCAAGAATAAATACTTTTTGTATTGTTTTACACTTAATTTCAATGCAAGGTTGTAAAAGAATAATTCTTAATTATTAAGGGAATGATTAGTACCTATATTTGTTTCTAGGTAACTATCTACTATCTAACTATCTAACTATGTAACTATCTAGCAAGGATTATTTAATTAAAAATGCATAACCAAATAAACTGGGATCAGAAATCTCGTTTCTCTACAAAAGTTTAATTAACTGATTTTAGATTTCACAAGATCAAATTTTACACAGAATAATGTTTTCTCCACACTTCAGGCGTACAGTCCATAGATTGTTGATTCATGAGTTTTGTAATTTGTTTTGTGTATTGTGAACTGAACTGTCTCTTTTTCCCCTATGGAGAACATAGTAGCCTACTAATGAACCTTTGTAGTTGCATAGTCAAATCACGTGACATGGATGGTTTTCTGTCATGGGTAGAAATTAGATAAATGGTTAAAACTGGTTTTACCAGAAGGAAAGCCACAAGAATGTTTTCACACACTTCACACCAAATATGTTATGATACCATAATCAAACAATAACTTGAAATGTTCAACTTTTTCTAATACTTAGTCTATTTAAAAAAAATGTAGATACAAAACCGATACATGGAAAAAGCTAGCTTTTTGATTTCTAGTACAGTTTTAGAACCTCGATAGTTTGACACTTTGTTTATTGTTTGTTGACTTAAGGGATGTCGAACTATCGAAATTTCGAACTATAGGGAGTAAATGGAGTTTAATATACAGGAGAGAAAAAACACAGGTATTTTATAGAAATCACCCAATTTTATTAAATACTAAAAAGCTTAACAATTTCACTGTTCATTAGTTAAGTCTCAAGTCAACAATAAATGACAAATTATTAACAGCTCAGCCCGTGTCGAACTACAAGGAGTGTCGAACTATTATATCGAGTGTCAAACTATCAAGTGTCGAACTATCGAAGGTTTACTGCACCTATATAAACTGGGAGAATGGGATACAATATGTGTGTTCTAATTAAAAAATGTACACGTGACTGTAATTATAAATTTTACACTTGGAAATTATCTCACCGCCATTAAAATTAGAGATAGACATATCTTTTCTTTTTATAATTACTCGTGAAAGAAATTAGGTTGTAAACTGATGTGCAGATAAACCGTGAAGTTTGGAAAAGCATAAACATAATGACTTCAATTTCTCGAATTTGCATAGTGTGATACTTTAAAAATAAATAACATATACTTTAAAAATAATAACAAACTAAAATATATAAATGTTTTACAGTTACAAGGAAAGAATTCAAGTAGCAAATTCAATGAGTTCAATATTGACCTACACCTTTAACTAAAAATCAAATAGAAAAAAAACCCACCTTTTAAAATATTATTACCAATTAACCCTTTGAGTTTCACTGATTAGGCCATTTTATAATTTTCATCATTTTTAGGCCATTTTCACTACATCCTACCTTTTGACTGCAACTCACATAAAAATACACTCACCTCTTCATCCAATACTCAAGTAATCCACCACAATTTTAGAAGCTCTGCACCATAGACTAACCAACACAAGTAGACTTCTCATCCCATTAAAAACCTGAAGCTTGTTTTTCATGTCTATAGTTCATGTTGGTGACACTAATTTATAATTATTGTCCCTGTCTAGTGGTGGGCAGCAGAAGTATTGACGATGGCTGTATCAAGTGCCTCTGTGAAGCTATCAATGAGGCCCCGATCTGTAACTACCAGGTGGGCTGCCACGATGGAGTCTGTGGACCCTACGCCATCACTATGCCATACTGGGTAGATGGTGGTCGGCCTACTGTGGGACTTGAGGATCGCAACGTGCCATCTAGTAAGTTATGGTACATGTGATTTACCTATACATATCCAGGGCAAGCAAGCTCACTTCCTCTCCTCTCCTTCTCAGACAGTTCTCATTTATGCTCTACCAGCGCTACGACTAGACTGGAGGCAACTCAGACAGATCACAGGAATGACCACGGGTCATGACTTCCTGAAGAAGCACCTGACTTATTTCACTTGAGGATTCATTATGGAAACACATAGGAACCCTGGGCTGCAAACATGATGCTCCCCAGTAGTTTTAAATTAATGTAATTGATGGATGGATTTTATTTTTAGTGGAACATTTCACAAAACACAAAACTAATAACTAATTTTTAAAATGTGTTTTTTTGGGCTATATGCCAGTTAGCCCAAATAGAAAGTTGGGCCTAGGCACACAGCATGCAGGAAATGTGGGCGGTCTAAGGAGGCTACATTAAGAACTGCACAGCTATGAATGAGCTAAGGAGAAAGCACTCTTGGAACCATGAGGAAAAAAATGGCTACAGATGGGAAGTCTTCTTTAGTATCCAATAGTCACTGGTAGTACTTAGAGTCAGTACTTTATATAGTTGTAATCAAAGAATAACAATTTTTCCATAAGGGAACAGCAACCTTACCATTCTTACATTTCCTATCCTTATACAAACAAATGCATTTACTTCTGCTGATGACTGTATCTATCTATATATTAATAGGCAAGCATGTTTCTTTAAAACCTTTTTTCTCAGGTCGTGTGCATCGCAGAGAAAATCTACGCATACTGTTGGAAAGATATTTTCCTGTAGATGTGCAGAATGCCTCTAAAAATTAAAATAGGCTAACAAATAAGCACAAAAAATTAATTTGAAAACTTCAAAAAATTAACATGGAGCATATGGGTTGCCATGATGGTGACGAAATAACAACAAAATGTAAACAGAAAATCAAAACAAATGGAAGAAATTCAAATCACATGTGTTATTTACAGTGTGGGGAGAAAATAGAGAAGTCTGTACATTAATTATTTTTGGTCGAGTTTCGACCACAGGACGACCACTAGTAATAGTTAAACTGTAACAGTCACAGAATTGGCTGAGATTTCCTGATCTATGGTACAGGTACATGAGGTAATATTAGGTTATACCGACAAACTTACCCACAAAATTTTTGTTATTTTCAAATATTTTTTTTTAGATGATTAAGATAAGCTTTATTGAATCTCTTAATCCCTTGATTTATCTTACATTCATTATTATAAGAATGTAACAAATTTGTCAACTGTAATATGATCTCTATAGTATATCCAAAGTACCAAATTTTAATAATTACCGGGGCTGTTAATGAGTGAAAATTTAAAAACGTACGTTTTCAGCAAAAGCACTTTGCAAATTCTTTTCCCCTTTTTTCAAAACTTTTATTATTATTTTTATTTCATTAACATTTGAAGTTTCATAAAATGTCCATGGTAACGCAATATCTTTGGTAGTTTCTTTTTAAAAGAGCATCTTTAGTGGAAAAACACAAAATCCTGTCACGACCATAACGGACGTTTAAATGAATATTAAAAATAGTTAATATTATTTTTATAACTATGTTTTGCTATAAACTTATTTACTTTTATGACCATTATACAATAAATAGGTCACTGAGCTTTTGGTATATTTGGTCTTTCTAGAAAAAAATAAAAAAACTCAAAAAATTGAAAAAAGCCAATAAAATCTTTTTAAGTTTGTATAACTCCGAAAAAACTTACCTGAGACCCGAAAAATCGTTATGTTTGTATAGAGGTGTGCTTCTTTTGTGTATAAAACATTGAAATATGACAATATTTTAATTTTTGAAATTTTTATGATAGAAATCATAAACGTGATGGTCAGGGACAAGCGGTACGGTCGTGAATTGTCTGGAATAATCTAAATCGTTCTAAACAATCCTTCAATTATCATGTTAGTTATAATAAAAATATGTGTTTCAATTGAACTTAACTGTTCAATTTACAATTATATTAAAGTTATTGTCACGACCAAACACACTATAATCCATAAGGCTGGATTGGTCGTGAAAAAACCCGCGATGGTCGTGAAACTTTGGTCGTGAAATTACGTGTAATTTGGCTCTGTTCTGGCGGTAGCCCTGCACCTCATGTTCGAGGATACAAAGTGGACTTCTAGGTTAATCTAGCAATTGAAATATCTTATAAACAAAAATTAACACCATGTCTACTTCATCGAATGACTACGTACGGTCATGGACACACCAAAATTACAAAAAACACAATCTTTCCTTTATTAATCTTGTAATTCCTCCTTTCAACTCAAAACGACCGGCACTACAATCCTGACGTACACCCCGAACTAGTCTCTAAAACCAACTGACTCCATCGACGCCAGGCTTGCCACTGTCGTGCTCCAAAGTTGAAAATTTTTCCCAAATGGTCGTGACGCCAAATCGAGGGACAGACTTATTTTGTCATGGTAGTCAGTTTGTAATGACAATAAAATTATAATATGCTCCTTTTTTGTAAGTTTAATAACCATTGATGATATAAAAATATGGCTTTATATATTTCGGCATGAATAATTAGTCTAAAAACAGTGTGAAAGTTGGAAAATTCACCCTAGGGACACGTCATGGTCGTGAATTTCGAGACTTTAAAAATACGAAAAAAATACCTAGAACCTATTTAAAACCAAATAAATGTGTGTAACATGTTGCCCCCGTCCCAAAAAATATTAAAACACATAATAATAAACTACAAATCCAGTATCTACGAAGTAAAAGGCCAGGGACATGAAAACGTACGTTTTTAAATTTTCACTCTAATATGTTTTCTTTTTGAAAACATATTAACATGATGCCTACTGGCCTCTCTCCTACTGCTCTTCTTAGTAGCTACTAACTATTCTTTAGCCTTGAGTCACCTGGTAGTGAATTTGTTTTTGTAGTTTGATATTTTTCAGCATATGAAAAATGCTCAAACGACGTGACTTGCGCAGAGGCTACAATACGCGGCTACATGAATAAATTTCACCAGGTTAGTTCTTAGTTCTGTGAGTTGTGTCATTTTACAATAGAATATTTACATGTGTATATTTCCTAATTTATTTATTTATCATTTTTGGACATGAAACGCACGTTACAACCGGCTTTTACGCTCCTTTCACACTATATGGTTGCGACTACCAGGTTAAAAACAGAACGATTTTTGCTGTTACTTTGCTTTTTTTACACATTACACGGTTTCCGAAAGTACGGCCGAGATGAATGTGTTAACATTGTAACAATAAGCATAACCATGCCCAATCGACAGGTCAGATTCTCAATGATAAACATTACAACAGCTGATTTATTTGCACTGGCTGGTAGGCTCCCGCTTCATTAAAAACCGTGTAGTATGAAAGCTTTTACGTTAAACTAAATGCGCCCCTGACGAACGGTCACGGTGTGTTAGCTACTGTACCTGGTTTAGTGGCAGAGAATGGCTGCAAGACAGCACGGGTTTCTGCCATACCCATATAGTGTGAAAGTTCTCATACTTTTTTTTAACTACTAAAATCCTTGAGTACCACATCCCTTACTGTATAGGAGATAATTTTCTTCAAAAAAAAAAAAAAAAAAAAAAAAAAAACTGATAAGAGACTGTTTTTATAATTTCCAACTTAAATAACACATATATGCTATTTATTTAATTTTTTGATTTAGATGTTTATGCTTATCTGAATGCATACTGTCTGAAATTCAGGTCTTCCTTGCTGCCGAATACGGTTGCATTTTTCAGCACCAACTCAATATACAAGACCCAGGTACTTAGACAGTGCATAAAAGACTCTAACGACATTTACGATTCTGCAGCCGGATTCAGCAGGCATAATTGGCAGCTAGGGAAACCCACCATAAAGTTAAATATGAATGAAGAGCTAATGAAGTATACAAGAAGGATATTTTAAGACGGTATTAAGCAGGTATAGGAGACAGTGAAGTTGAAGACTTCATTACTGACCGTAGGTACAGTACTGTGGGAAATGATGGTCTCAAATAGGGAGATGTGTAAGGCATGCATCCAATGTAGTTGTTCTTATTTTATATTGATCACCTATTATGTAACATTGTATGGTTCCAATTTAATTATCTTTTTTAAATAATGTTTCTTGCAGGACTGTAACCAAGATGGGTCTGAAGACTGTTTCGACTACGCTGCAGTGCATTTTCATGGAGGTTACAACTGCAATCAACCATTGAGAGAACCGGTTAGGAGAGCTCTGGATAACTGTTTGAGACGTTTAGGGGCTTATCCACAACCAGGACCGGGTGAACTACCCGGACAACAGTATCCACCGGTACAACCGGAGCGTCCACAAACACCGGATCTACCGATACAACCAGAGTTTCCACGACAACCGGAACTACCTGTACAACCGGAATTTCCAATACAACCATCACAACCGGAATCAACCACCTACCCTTCAATAGACATCCGGTTTGGCGAAAACAAATAGAATGGTCATATTCAAGGGGTTTTTGCTCTCATGTCACACTAATCTATGAAAAAATTAGTGGTGAATTAAAGTTCATTATTGTGATTTATTTTTTAGACTAGGCTTAGGCTGAGAAAGACGTTTTTATATTTGTGTGTTCTTAGTAGTAGATCAATAAATTGTGACACTCCCTTTGTAACAATTTAAAGGTTTTCTTAGTATTATTTGATGCCGTTAAATGTTGGAAAATAATATGAAATAAAGAATCATGATGAAGCCAAAGGGGAAACACTAAAAATAAATTAGTTCATCAATTATTTTATCCTGTTTCAAAATCTATATTATTATATATTTAAAATTATAATCTTAGATTCCTTAGTTCTTGTGCATACGTTCTTACTAATTAATTAATCATTTATTGGTATAGATATACCTCAACATACACCACCATAATCATCCAACTCATACCCGGATCTTTATCAGTGAATAAGAAACTCTAGCGATTCAATATCGGTGGTGCTCTGTCACTACCTGAAACCTTTTCCCTCATTCCGCATGCAACATCACACAAGTAGTTCTCCCGCGTCTATTAAAAAAAAATGTAAAGAAAAAGAAAAAATTATTATTAAAAAAATTATTATTATTAAAAAATTAAAAAATTATTGAAGCGTTGTTGTGCGCCTAATGGTTACGGAGAAAATTCCAAAAAATTGTAAATTTAAAATCCCCATGTTATTCTTATGGAGAATAAGTCAACTGTTGTAGTTTGCTTGTTTATGAACATATTTTGATCGAATTTGGAAAATACTTTAGTTTCTTACTAAACTATTAACATAAAAAAAAAACTCTTTTACCCTCTCTGTTGCAGCAAACCTAAGTACTCGTTAAACTAATTCTATAAATAGGAAATAAATGTGATATTTTTTTAGTGTAAATCCAATCAGGTTAATGGTAATTCGCTTAGTCTGCATGTTTGCTGCGGCGGGGGTATTTTACAAATCTATCTATATATTAATTTGAAACTGTTTTTCTTTGTCACAGCTATTTTGAGAGAACGGCTGGGCGTAGAAACTCGGTAGGGGTGTCAAAAGAAAGGTCTTGGTCTGTAGATGAGCCATCAAAAGAGAAACATGGTGAATTCCCTTGGGGCTCTGCCCCCGTGGCCTTTAAATTCCCATCCCATGTTATTCTTATGGAGTAAAACGGGGTTTTTGTCACAGCTAATTTGAAAGAACAGCTGGGTGTAGAAACTTGGTAGGGGTCTCTAAAGAAAGGTCTTGGTCTGAAAATGAGCCATCAAAAGAGGAAAGAGGTAAATACCCTTGGGGCTCTGCCCCAGAAGCCTTTAAAGTTGCCTCTTCAGATTTGTTTACATTACGACCATATGCATAATTCAACACTACTTTCTAATGCAACAGCTGTTAATATTTAAATTGTGATTTACTGAATTTGTCAAAATGAAGTACAGTATTTGCAATGGATTTTTCTGGTTTTAAAATTGATTTTCTTCTGCATCGTGTCATGTTTTGCAATATAATGTTCTATTACCAAATCAGTGGAAAATCCTAATATCACAGTAACTTTTGAAATTATTTCTTATGGAGTTAACTTATGTCACTTCTTAGAGATTGTACGTAGGTGATATTCTTTGGCATATTGCATCTGTAGACGAAACTTGGGTTGGTGTAATTATTACAATGGAAAAGAGCGAGAAATCCTGGACAATTTGATATAGGCTAAAAATAAAACTGAATTAACACTGTGCTACATTTCTTGAGCAATCATTGAAATAACCAATTTGCAAATAATGGAAACATAGAAAAAGTCATAGAACACAACCAAGTAGAAGAAATAGAAATAATGTTTTTTTACACGAAAAAAAAACAAGATCAGCTTTTTGAAAAAAGATAAGATATTTACAAAAGATTTTGATTATATCTAACTGTTGTGTAGATCGTGAGTATTTCCATAATCTTTGAGTCGCCTGTAATGCTTTGCAATTGCTCGAATTCGAGCAACAGGTACACTAGTATATATAATTCTGTAAGACCAAATTTTTACCAGAAAATTGTGGACGTCTGGTAAGTCGCAGAAAAGTGGGAGAGGTCTTAAATTAAAGTTCTTGACCCCAGGGAAGGGACTCAGGAAAAATAGCAGAATTCCCATAAAGTAGCAAGAAAACGAGATATAACGTAAAATATCCACCATAAGACATGCATGGGGAATGAAAAACGTCTGCATTCTATCAGCTGTTACTTATTTATTTGCAATGTTTACATTTATTCCGAAAGTCAATGTTGGTAAATAATTTTTTTAAATGAATTGTGTTTAATTTTTTTGTTTTCATAATGAATGACGTAACTAGACAGGGTTGGGGAAGACCTGCAAGACGTGGACAAGTGTCCAGGAATTCAACAGACTTAAGAAATGCAAAAGAGAATGTCATGTAGGGCTTAACTGTGAAAGAAATCCAGAAGCTGTTTTACAACCTGTCTTCAGAAGAACGCTGGAAAATGAATTGAGTGTTATTTCTCACAATCTAGGTCCTCATAAAGCACTTGCATGCATTGTGGCGCATTTCACTTCGCAGAGGAGGCCACAAATGGACATTTCAACGCATGTTGCCACAATGGACTTATTAACACGCCACAACCACAAGTAAATGACAAACTAAAAGAACTGTTTTTACATGATTCGAACTTCATAAAAAATATAAGGCAATACAACAGTGCAATGGCTTTTGCGTCGCTTTTCGCTACACAAAAAGAGATCCCGGGAAATGGGCCTTTACTGTTTTAAAATTCAGGGACAAATTCATAGATATATTTCTGACTTACTACCTTACCGCGAAATGGGGAGTTGACTTCATAATAATTAATATTTTTAACCTTTACATTTGGTTCTCAAAATGGAAACTATAACAGAATTCGTAAGATTACAAAACAAATCTTCAATTTTAAACTAGAAAAGATGTGCAATGTTTGGCTGTATGATTTCAGCTCTGATTCGTCGTTCTCCGGGCTCAGGCCAAACCTTGTGCACGTTTCAATTTGTTAATATGTTGTGTTATTGATTTAAAAATTATTTTACAATCGTATGACATTGACACATCAGAAGCAACTAATATCTCAAAGCCTTTATGTTCAACACAAGTTTTGGTCATGGCCTATTATGGCCTCATTCATCCCCATCTTTCCTACGGATTAAGATTGTGGGGGGGTTGTGCCAGACAAAATTTTAACAGGGCATTTAGGCTTCAAAAAAGAGCCATCAGATTAATTGCAAATCTGAGGCGGAGAGAGTCGTGTAGACAAGCTTTCAGGGAGCTTGGAATTCTGACCCTACCTATATATATATTGGTATATATTGGAAACGGCTGTATATTGCCGTTTTCAACATGTGCCTATCCAAGGCACTGCTGTGCACAGCCACGGGACTAGAGCAAGGGAAAGTTTTCGCACTGTCCACTCTAGCCCTGCTGTCCAACACCGAACAGCTGCATTTGAGAAACTTCCTTCTCAATTAGTTGTCAGGCTCCTTAACTGTCTTCCTGAAAGGCTTAAAAGTCTGGAAGGTTCCCTTCTATTCAAAACGAAACTGAAGCGTGACTTGAAAAATCAGACGTTCTATTCGGTTGATGAGTTCACTGCACACCGTTGGAGTAAAAAAGGGTTATGAGTTAAATATTTTTAAAGCTTTCTTAATAATAATGTAAAATGTTTTTTAGTTTTCCTCCATTTCTTTAATGTTTTGATTTATTTGTGTAAAGTTATATTTAATTTAAAGTGTAATTTTATAAAATAACCTCTATGTAACTATAAATATTAGAATAACTATTATATGCTACATGATATAAAAATTGTCAAGAGCAATAAATAAATAAATAAATATACGACTCCAAAGGAAGGAAAACCAAGATATAAAACAAGAAACACTGTTAATTTGAAGTAACATTAAATTGATAATTTTAAAAACATATTTCGAATATTTGTCTTATTTTTATATATGGGTTTTTATCGTAGTCTAAATTAGGGGCTATGGCCCCTACAGGCCACTATTGAAGTAAATTTCTACAATTTGAACTTTTTATTTGTCGGTCTAACAGAATACCTTTGATCTAAAATTCTATTGCAATTCAAGACCTAAACACATGAGATTTTTATGTTAGCAGTACACTACCACCGAATATTTCGCTGAATTTTTTACTCGAGTTGCGAGAGAAATGCTGCCGAATGTGAACCACGAGCTCACCCAGTACATGTTACCCGAACATGCTTGCTGGTGGTTAGACATATTTTAACTTCCGGCACTCACCTTTGCTCGTCTCCTTTGACTTGTCCCAAATCCGACAAAAAATGGAGCACAGGCGAGCATGAATCATGGCGAGGCAAAATATCTCGAGCTTACACGAGCAAACCGAGTACACTATCATGCTCGCCTATATTCGGTGATACCGGTAGTGTACTGCTTACGTAGCATTATGTAGGTAACCAATTTAATCATGGAAAAATTATACGTGAGACTTGAAGGGGATCGGGTGCTTATAGAACTTATCTTAAAGAGTGATATTACCAAATTTATAAGAATTAGATAAAACCCTTATATCTTACATTTTTTCATAAAAAGTATCGGTATTCAAGTTTTTTTCTTGATTAAAAGATTAAAGTTAAATCTAAAAATATATTTTCATACAAAAATCTTTTGACACTTAGAACCCAAAGAAATAGGTAGTGCAAAAACGCCTGCAGTTGTTGAATACTACTTGGTTGATTGTAGTGAATATGAAATGCGTACTGGTTAATGAAGGAGTTTGTCAAAGTAAGAAAGTTGTGATATATCTTATATACTAAAAAACTTTTGTAAAACTTATGACAGCGAGCCTGACCATACTACTGGACCGAATCACACGAGCTTGGTACCAAATGAAAGATATTTACCTGTAGATGTGCAGAACCCCTTTAAAAATTAAAATAGGTTCAAAAATAAACACACAAAAAACATTTGAAAAAAAATTAATATATGGGTTTTATGGGTTGCCATGCTGGTGACAAAATAACATCAAAATATAAACAGAAAATGCAAACAAATTCCAATCACATGTTTTATTTACAGTGAGGGGTGAAAATAGAGAAGTCTGTACATTACATATTTTTTGTAGAGTTCTCAACCTCGGGGCGACCTCTAGGAACCAATATAAAAAAAAACGTTTCTTATGGAAATTTAACATGGGGCCAAAATTTAAAGCTTCTGACAGCTAGCCTTACCATACTATTGGATGAATTGCAAGCAGGTTGTACCAAAAGAAAGGTTATCGGTCCTATA